CCGCCCCCGGTCTCCTTCCTAGTTCCACACACCACACCAGTCTAATTTTTTTGACTAATAAAGTGGAATTTGACGGTCGCGCGTGTGTGTTTGGGTAAAGGGACCCCCGGCTCTGTTTATGGGGTGGTAAGTTGTGAATGTTTTTTTTTGTGTTGGTTTTTTGGGGGGGGGTTGGTAAGGGGGGGGGGGGGGGGGGGGGGGGGGACCGTGGACCTTATTGGCTCTTCACCGCTATTACAGATTGACACTTAAATAAAGGTATCATCATCATCATCATCATCATCATCATCATCATCATCATCGTCATCATCATCATCATCTGACGATTTCCCAGATGGGATGTACGTATCTGGCGTGAGAGCAGGCTCTCTGGGGAGCTCTTTGGTGGGTTCTGGGCAAGAGATTGTGTCCATGCAAAGGATACACCCGTGACACGGCGACCACAAGAAAACTTCACTACGAGTAGATTTATACTCATGTTAAGACTCCTCAGCAATGATTTTTTTTTCCAGATTACTTTGTAGAGTTTCAGCAAGGTTATTTGTAGTCATATGTAAAGGTTTATCCGCTTCACCTCTAGATAAAATATTCAGAATATCTGTCTACTTTATTGAATATTCTCCCTTATTCCCATATGGCTTAGTATGTCAAAAGGTCCCATGCACGAGCGAGTCAATTTCAGGTAACTTGCGTAGCAGGAGGGTCTCAATGGGGTGGTGGCTTTTACGGTTATCGGCTAAAATTTTGGCTCTTTTACGGCTATCGGTTAATTTTTTCCAGTTACGGTTAACGAAAAAGTTAAAAATTAACTTCTTTTGTTTTAAAAAGTTAAATATTAATTAACCTGTATTTTTTTGTATCTTTAAATCAAAATAAAGGTCTTCCATGTCTTCTGATCATCTCGGGATGAAATAAGCTATTCTTTTGAAAAGTTTTAACATTTGATAGATCGTACTTTTTATAAAGTATTGCACTTCTGATATTATTTTACACATAGAAATGTCAATAGTCAATTTAAAAATAATCTTTGTGAAAAAGCAAAAGCAGACACGCGAACGCCCAACTCAAGGCCGGGGGGGCGACATACATTATAACAAAAATGGCCGTTTTCACACTAGAGAAGGATTATTCGTGTGAGACGGGTTATCCGTTTGATGATTCGCGTCAGATAGGTGATACGTCTTAATTTGGCAATGGAATAGTTTTAATTTTGAATAAACAATCCGCCTGACTTTTGAAGAAAAGGATTATCCGTTCCAGATAGCCTGTGTACAGCCGCCCCCTCCCCTCAGAAAAAAATCGGAGAAGGGGTGTCTGTGGGGAGGGCGCGACTGTACACAGGCTAGTCTCAGACGGATGATCCATTTCTAGGTCTAGTGTGAAAACGGCCAATAGCAAAATTCTCGTGTCCAGTGTTTTTAATGATAGCGAAGGACTGTACGGAACGACTGTCTTGCCGTTGCCTTGTCCGTAGGCCGCATTATTCAGCGCGGCTAATGCGTTTCGGGTCATGTGGTCCGAGCGAGTTCGCCACTGAAATACCTTGACCGAGATTGCGTGGGAAGACGCCGAACAGGGACTAGGCATGGCAATGTCTTCCGTAGCGTCCGAGAAAAACAGGGAAATGTTGTTTATCGGCAACGTGTTTTACAAACAGTGACATCGCTGCGTGTTGTTTCACTAGTGTTTTGAGGGCGCGGCCTCCTGAAAATTGCAAATATTAATCCCCAGCAAGAAGCCACACTTTCGCTATGGAAAAAATTAGTTCCCCAAGAAAGCGCCGGAAATGGAGCCTAGGTCTTGGTTAACACCTAAAAGGCGCTTCGCCTAACGTGCGTACGGAGTCACACTAGCCGGGAAATAAAAAACGCAACCATAAGTGAGTTTAGTACCTTCCTTAAAAGTAGCAAACCTAGGGAACACTTTCTTTTACGGTTAACTCTTTTTTACGCTATTTACGGCTAAAGGTTAATTTTTTGTAATTTTTACGGCTATCGGCTAAATTTTTGGCCGTTTTACGCCTATCGGTTAACCCCATTGAGACCCCCTAGCAGGAGTCCCAGTCTCCAGCCGGGTGGGGATCGGCGGGCGCATCGAAACACCCAATGCTGGAGACTGAGCTTTGCGTAGCAGACGCTTGTAAATAACATAGGCGCAAAAAAGAAAAGGGCGCGCGACGTAAGAGGGAGCGTGTCTTCCTTTGAGAACCCCGTTCTTTCTTGCGCCTATATCATTTATAAGCGCCGGCTAAGCAGGCTAAATCTTAGGCCAACGTAATACCTGCCCGTTAACGCTATTCCGACCAAGACCTCTAATTTAAAAATCGGAATTACTTTCCTCGTAGATATGTATTTGCCATAGATACTGGCTTTTTAATCGTGCATGAGATCGGACAGAGGCCCTGGGAAATCGTAATTAAACATTTCAAAGTCTTCTTCAAAGGCCTTACCCAGCTGAGCGATCTTCTCCTTGGGTATCGGGGCATAGCTTTTAAGAAGTTGACTTGTAGTATTGTGGGTAAGAAACGGAGGAAAGGTCACCGCCCGATCCATTCCTGTTTGCCGTAGGATATAAGGTGCTTCTTCTGGCATGTCCTCAAAATGACCGATGAAATCGTACTCTATATCACACGGGTGACAAATTGGGCCGTACGATCGCCAGTGTGCATCTCGATCAAACCCAACATCACTCACATAATAAATGAACTTCTTAAAAGTAAGATCCTGGTCGGAGCTGTTAGAGCTAGGTTCCTCTTGTTTGTATCTTTCCAAAATTTTCGTTTTATAACTTTGAATTATTCTCCAAGGCCATCGGTTGTTTACAAACTTGTTATTGTAGGCTGACAAAAGCCTCTCGAGTGGTTCGCGAACAAATACAAACTTAAAGTAAGATTTTAGCCTCACTTTAATATCCTCGTCCGAATAATCATATAAGAGAAATTTATAATGTTTGTTATCATGCACATCATCCACATCGGTGCGGTTATCAAGAGCAAGAAAGACACGTTTCCATTGACTGCAGGCCACCTTGGGAATATAGCAGAAGATTACTTTGTACTCATCGTTAACAATTATAGGATGGTCGTATCGATCGCTTCGATTTCTGCTTGAAGCGTGCTTCTCACAGTAGTCTCTAAGTCGCTGCTGTCGCACAGTTTGTCTCTGTTTAATCCGCTCGAAAAGGTGACCATCCTTCTCTATCTGAAAAGTGGATTGACAAACGTGAGAGCTTTAGCTAGAAGGTGCGATTAGAAATCAGGACAATCAGGATTAGCTTAGTCGGTAGGGGCGCTTAAACGGTGTAAACTGGCGGTCAAGTAGTGTCCCTAATTATATAGTACTTTAAATACAACATTGACACTCAAATAAAGTGCATTTTTTTACACAAACAGGCTGAACAGGGCATGAAACAAACAAACAAAGTCGGATTGGGAAACTGCCCACCTACCCCTCCCCTAAGCCAGCATTTTGCCCTAGGTGAGAAGTAAGTGTTAATGTTGGCTTAGGGGAGGGGTAAGTGGGTATGCCGCGCCGTTTGTTTCGAAATTATTTTTTCATTGGTTATAAATTTTTAATCTTTTTCTGTTCTGAATCATGGATATAAGCGCTTAAAATCAGAAAGAAGGACTCATGATCCTTTCATTATTACTTTTTCTTCCTCATTATTAAGAACAATCTCTTAATAGTTTACTATGAACTCCAATCAATCAGTTTTGCGGATCGGGTTTACCGACCAGTTATCGATCAATTAAAATATTACTATATTGTGCTAATTTTCTACCAGATACTTAAAATCGATCAGCCAGCATATCATCAATCGGTAATCCGTCGTGTAAAATCGATGTATATGATCCGTAATCAACCATGGTAAGCTGTCTCAAATTTCGATCAGTTTTGCTAATAATCAATCAGTTTATTATTTAACAGTTATCGGGTACTATACTATTGATCAGCGTAAACTCGGCTTGTACAGTCTACCAGTTGTGCGTATTTTCATTCAGTTGTGACTAAAATCGATCAGTTGTTGTATGATCGATCAGTTGTGCGTATTTTCATTCAGTTGTGACTAAAATCGATCAATTGTGTGTATTTTAACTTCAGTCTATCATTTTAGCCCAGAATTCTCGACCTACTTCAGACATTCTTAGAAGAAAACTAGAAAACTGAATAGCTTTAGTTTCGCGCACTTTTAAAATTTCCGATTAATCTTTCACAATTTCATTACTGTAACAACATTTCATCTTCATGGTCGCTGCGAGCAGTGGTTTCTCCAGCGTCCGGCCTGGAAAAAACCACTGCTCGCAGGGTACTGTGAGAAGAATATTACTCTCAATATCTCCTTCCTGGATTTCGATCAACTTTAAATAAATTAGTCCCTGTTCTTTAAACAACTTTCGTTTTCTTTTTGTACGTCGCGTTAATTTTTCTTTCTTTGATCATAATGACTACTGATCGATTTTAGTCACAACTGAATGAAAATACGCACAACTCATTGATCATATACCTCATTGAAAAAACGTTGTCGGTTGAAAGCATAAACCATTAACTATGAGACCCAAGGCTTTATGGGTATAAGTATATAATGAATAGACCAATTCCGATATATTAAAATTCATACTTGGCAGCGAGGCCTAGGGACTAAAACAAAAGAAGTCACCTCGAGGCTCAATAATGAATAATACATTTCTTTTGTTTTCTTACCTCAAGCCCTTGGAGCCGAGTATGACTTTTAATATATCGAAAATAGTCTATACATTTGCATAATATTTTGTTCTCTTGTGGTTGTTGCACGTGGTGAACTATAGAAACTATCCGAGCTTTTATGAAGGTGTCCAAATTGGCCAACAAGGGCCAATTTGAACGGTATACCATACGCGACTTGCCGAAGTTCGTATCAGTCAACGAATTTAAGAAACATTTGCTTGCAAATTATTCCGAAGAGTTAAGTCCCGCTTCTAATTGGTCTTCTTTAACTATCGGCTACATGAGTGAAGGACGCCAAAAATGCGACATAAAAACAGACAAACAACTAGAAGACGCCCACAAAAGTATTAAAAATGGGTGGATCACCCTATGGGTGGATCCACACAGTATCGTGAAACGCAAACAGGACGAGAAAGAAAGAAGGGAAGATCAAGCAAAATATACATTTATCTGTCACGATTTTATCCTCTCTAACAATCGTTTTGTTTGCGAGATCGTTTAATGTCTTTTAAATGGACTCGTGTCGACAAAGTCTCAACTATACTAAAGAATTAAGAGATGGGAAAGGTAGTACGGACCGGCTGGAGTTGTAGGTAGAATACTTTGTGGATCATTTTACGGTGTTTCTGGGAAATTGCCCACCTACCCAACATTAACACTTACTTCTCACTTAGGGCAAAATTTTGGTTTAGGGGAGGGGTAGGTGGAAAGTTTCCCAGAAACGTAAAATGAATGATCCGACTTAGTTTGCTTGTTTCATGCCGTGTTCAGCCTGTTTGTGTAAAAAGATGCACTTTATGTCAATGTTGTATTTAAAGCACTAATTAGTATTCAAAATCTTGAGACATTTCAAGATTTGTAATGGAGAATCTTGATTTTTTTTTTTTAGAATGTCAAAACTTAAAATTTCAATATTCTGTACGTAAAATTTCGAAATGTCAAATTCTGAATGCCAAATATTAAAATTTCATGATTTGGTAGCTAACCAATGACTTATTATAACTCACCGTAATGATATTAATATAATTCTGTAAATAACTCACCATGTTGCCTTTGAAACTCCAACTTACCTTGTCTCGTTTTTCAGCATATTCTACGGCAGGTTTGGTTGTCTTGACTAAGGTGAATTGCACGTCAAGTGTGATAAAAGTTTACCGGAAAAAAATAAAATAAAATCCGTCCATGCAATCAATTGTCTAATAAATGTGTTAACTTGAGACTTTTTTGTTATAAATTTATTTTGTGTACATTACCAATTTTTCACGAACTCGTGTTGAACATGACAGATATGAAAACGATTAGCCGTTTTCCTCAATGATGGAGAGTCATTACAATATGGAGAAGAATATGGAAAGCTTTTAATTGATATCCTCTTCTGAATTTCAAGTGCAAGGAGGATTTTTTTTTCGTTGGAAGGGTTTCTGAAATCCCTTAAAACGCACACGGAAAATATAGACCAAAGTTTTCTGTTGTTTTTCCCTTATCATGATGATTGAAATACATGGCTCTATAGGAGGCACCCAACGATTGTTTTCTGTAAAATATCTGTTCGGAGAAGCAAAAATTGCCTAGAATTTTCTAGAGCTTTTCGATGGAGAGAGGAATCAGAAAATGCTCGCTTTCGTAAAACTACAAATTGCATTTAAAATTTTCGGGAAAATAATACTGAAGACCTTGTAGTCAGGGGCACCCAACGAGAATATGGTTCAAAACCACTTAAACATAGCATTGTTAAACTTATTTTAGGATTAAAACGGTAGATATAGGCATATTTTTATCCCCTAAAAATTTTTCATCTGTTCGGATTTCCTAGCTGAAAGTCTAGTGATCCGAAAATTATAGGAATCAAAACTTACCTTTTCGAAAATTTCAGGCAGAAAAAAGGCTCCCGAAAATTCTAGGTGACGTTTTAAAGGTAAAAATCCGTTAATGAATGGGCAATTATAGTAGTTTTTAGATGTTCTAAAATCCTAGGAGAGGCAGGCAAGCAAGAAATTTTACAACAAATGTTCCGAAAATTCTAGATCTCAAATCGTCTTATGAACAGATATTTTCCGAAAATTGTCGTTGGGTACCCCTGTTGTAGTTTGGAAAAGATCACCGAACAAATTCACTGAATTTTATAGCGCCGCTTAGAATGCATTTGTAGAGATCTAAAAGTACTCTGGATAGTCTAAAAAGTGTTTTCAATGCTCTTGTTTAGGAGGAAACCGTCGTTGGTTGCCCCTGGTTCTAAGTGTTCTTTTCTGTACATTCAATCTGACGAAAAATATGCTTTACTCACTTTTTACTTTTAGACTGCTCATCATCAGCATTTACCAATAATCAGAGTCATTTTGATTATTTTTATTTACTATTTCTTATGTGAAGAGGTTGCTTTGCGCTGAAGGAGCCTTTTCTCAGATTAAGTTATTAAATAAATACATGTATTTTAACACGTACAAACCATACTTCACCTGGGTTCCACTCATTCGTCAGCAATAAAGTTATCAAATAAACCGTTATCGACAGAAGCAAAATTACTCCAGGTATTTCCACCTTTCGAATGCGTAGGACAGCCGTGTAAGGATTGAAAGAAAGAGGCATCTTTTTGTTTCTGTGACACGACTTCTGGCTCCTAACGTGTATGAATATTATTAAATATGCATGCAGATGACCTTCTTGTATTCTGGGTAGAACGTGTTTCGTAGAGCGCTCAATTCATTTAATTGAAGAGCATTGACTATTAATAATCACAGGAGTTCAGGCTTCAGGAGTAATCATTGATCGTGCAGATGACCTACTTACATTAGCATTCTATTTGATAAGCCTGCAGCAATTAAGTATAAATTGCGCAATCATGACTTCGCTATACCTCTCCGCTGCAGAGGCCTCTTTCTGTTGTGGGGAGACTGGGGAGAAAGAAAAAGAGAGCGCGCGGAATCGTCCCCCGCGCCCTTTCTATTTTTTGGATACCCAGTAGGAGCATCTGCAAAGAGGAGAGTCGCTATACCAAGATTTAACACAGTCTCCTTTGGAAAGAACTCGCTCATGTATATGGACCCAAAGGTATGGAGCTCTGTTCCTTGTAACATGAAAGAAGCTTCCATTCCATAAACATTCTGTTTTTTCTTCTTTTAATTAACTAATTTATTTATTCATTCTTTTTACGTTTTTTTTAGTCTACCCCCTTAGTGGCTATTCCCCACTATTACGGATTGACACAAATAAAGGTATCATCATCATCATCTAACGATTTTCCCGGATGGGATGTACGTATCTAGCTGTAACGTTGTAGTTATGTCCTATCTTGTGAACATGTCCTCTGACGTAATGTGATATGCAAGCCAATCAGGTCATGCAATCTATCCTGGTAGTCGCGGCATAGGACTGGAAAAGAATCTCCGTTGCAGTTTGGTCTTGGAGCAAAATTTGCAATTCTAGCGGGTCGGGGACGGTAGTAAAATTTGTCTTGCAAGGGTAAATAAACACAACTGCAACGCTACATCTAGCCTGCGAGCAAGCTCTCTGGGGAGCTCTAGGGTGGGCCCTGGGCACGAGATTGCGCCCACGCAAAGGATACACCCTTGACACTGCGACAACAAAAAAACTTCACTACGAGTAGATTTATAATCTCGTTAAGCGTGAAGACTCCCCAGCAGAAAGGAGAAGCCGTTACTTCACGTTACCATGGTAGCAAAATCTGGATGACAACAAACAGAAAACGTGAATTCGCACTTTTTCAAACTTCATTGATCTTGTTCAACTTCATTAAATTTGCCAAATGTTAGCGACATTTCTGGCGTTGAATCGAAAAGAACCGTATCTGAGTTAAGAAAGAAAAGGAACATTTTTTCATCGTGTTCACCTACTCCATAAAACAGGCCCGTGATCAAGACATTTCATGTCGCCGTCGAGCAATGACAACTAAGAATTGTACAAAACGCGTGATGCACGTGCAAAGTTACCTTATTACAGGAAATTAATGCGCCATGAAATTAAAGCATTAGAAATTAACGCGACGTAGTGTAGTGTTAGTCATTGTCTTAGTCTGAAAAACAGCCGAAGATATCACGTTGACCGTTGCCAAAACGAAAAGACTAAAAAGAATAGTGTTTTTACAGTAAGGTATATCAGACGATTTTATTAGGTAATTTTTTTTTCTAGATTACATTGTAGAGTTTTGAAGGTTTATCCGCTTCACCTCTAGATAAAATATTCAGAGTATCTGTCTACTTCATTGAATGTTCTCCCTTATTCCCATACGGCTTAGTATGTCAAAAGGTCCCATGCACGAGCGAGTCAATTTCAGGTAGCTTGCGTAGCAGGAGCCTTAGTCTCCAGCCTGGTGGGGAGTACCGCAGGCGCATCGAAACACCCACGGCTGGAGACTGAGCCTAGCGTAGCAAACACTTGTAAGTAACATGGGTGCAAGAAAGAAAAAGGCGCGCGACGTGAGAGGGAGCGTGTTCCCCTCTGAGAGTCCCGTTTCTGACCCGTTCTTTCTTTCGCCCATATTATTTATTGCTGGTTTTCAGTGTCACGCCATTCAAAATAGATCAAAATAAAAATCAAAACCGTTCAATAGATAAAGTCCAGAATCTGGGAAATGAAAGGAAGTAAATATGCAAAGACCCTCGCCAAGGTTCAGGTCAGAGGAATATTTCGTATACGAGATTCGGAGAAACGTTTTACCCAAATTTAGAGAGATTTGTATGGAGACGCCATGCTGGTGCTCATCCGGATGAGCTCCAATATGGCGGATGGAAACCAACGGAAACATCTGTTACCGAGTTTTGCTACAAAAGCGTGAATTTATTCTTCGAAGAACTCATAAACATTAAAGTAATACTTTTTCTAATACATGAACTGTTTAGATAGAAAAATTCCCTGAAATACGTCATTCTTTTAACCTACATGACAGCTCCCTTGGCCGTCATGTAAATGCCGCGTCACGCAAAAGCTTAGAAATTCAAGCGTACTCTATCACAAAACCAAGAACCCTTTTGAGGCGAAAATTTGTATGAAAATTAGTTTGCAGCTGCTCTAATACATCGTGAAAGTAAAATCTCGGTACGATCGATAGTTTTGTAGTTTGAATTTCAGTGACGTCATATGAAAACCAGCAACAAGCGCCTGCTAAGCAGGCTAAATTTCAGGCCAATGTAATACCTGCCCGTTAACACTATTCCGACCAAGAGCTCTAATTTAAAAATCGGAATTACTTTCCTCGTAGATATGTATTAGCTATAGATACTGGCTTTTTGAGATCGTGCATGAGATCGGATAGAGGCCCTGGGAAATCGTAATTAAACATTTCAACAAGTCTTCTTCAAAGGCCTTACCCAGCTGAGCGATCTTGGGTATCGGGGCACAGTTTTTAAGAAGTTGACTTGCAGTATTGTGGGTATGAAACGGAGGAAAGGTCACAGCCCGATCCATTCCTGTTTGCCCTAGGATATAAGGTGCTTCTTCTGGCATGCCCTCCGTAACAAGAGCTAGTGCTTCGTCAAACACTACTTCATTTGTTTTGGACCGTCAGTACTTTTCTTTTTTTACTAGTTGAATGGCGGCTTCCCGCGTCTTCTTAATGCTGAGTCGCCGTTTGGTTAGCTTTTGGTGGTCGGTGAAATTGAATAAACTGTTTTAGCGTTTTTTGATTGCATACGGGCTCATTGACATTGGTTGTTTGCTTGAAGAATACTCTCATATGCCGCTTGTAAATCACACTTAGTCAATATCTTGCCTTCTCTTAAGTTGATCTCTGTCATTGGTAAAAACTCTGTTTGAGCCGCCTTCTTGGTTATCGATGCATCATTGTTCGAAGTAGTTCCCGGGTCAGGCTGGCGCAATACATTTGCGACGTTATTCACCCAACAGACCGTATGATACCTGATGCCAGAATCTTGTTCATCACTCGTGTCTAATGATGTACTCAGTTTTACACGGAGCCGGTCTTTTCCAGAATTTTTTGGTCCGTAAGGACTGGGTAATAGGAAGATTGGAGACGGAAAAAAGGGCTTTCCCTCAAAACTCACTGCCGTCACAAAAGAAGAACCTATCTTTGTCAAATGGTGATGTTTTAGATCTTATTAGCAGCTAGCAGCGGTATTTTCTCTGGTGCCACGTTTGAAATCTTCTGTCTTGTTTCATTAGGCCTAGCCAAATCTCTCTCGTTCCGTTCTCCTTCTCGCCTGAACATTCCCGTATGGATGGTGTCCTTATACCACTTGAACACTGTGTGTACCACGACGCTCCTTTATCCTTAAGCTTTTGAGCTGTGAACGTTTTTAATTTTGACCAACTTTTGAAAAATTCTAAATGGTCCGTAAGACGCTCGTTCTTGTATGTACCCCAATTCTCTGTCATGACAAGTCGTTCATTTGGCTTAATTTGTCGACAAATAATACACAAACTTAAATTGAGGTCTTTGACCTCTCCAGTCTCTGTAGAACTCGACATTTAGCATTGATAAAAGACATAAAACGGCAATATATATCGCAGATGTTCATGCGCCAACACTCAACACCAAACAAGAAAATTGGAATATGTATTAGCACCTGCAATAAATTATTTTATTTTTATTTTATTATAAAAGCAATCTAGTTTATACCTGACATTTTAAGACCTGAAAAAAACGAGAAATGTCCACATTTTTTTGGCAGGACAAATTAGTTGTTCTCCTACGTTGATATTCCAAGAGATTACTCTTTCATCTGAAGCAACTGGCTTCTTTTGAACTAAAAATTCGGATTTTCAACTATTACCAAGGCACTAGAGGTAATTTAAGATTCCTAGATATCTTATGAAATATTAGTTTTACATTTACAGAAAAGAGCGTGATTGAACAGCAGTTGTTTTAAGCATGTCCAAGCTTTAGCCTCGTTTTCATGTAAAGTTCAATGGGCCATTTTTCAGTGCTCCTTAAATACCCGCTGCACACGTTACAGAAGGGCCGACAACATTAAACATAATGTTCCTTAGGTCCCCGTCAACACTTCTACACCGGTCGCTTGAAATCATTATTCTGAAATCATTATTCTGTAAAATAACTGTTCGAAGGAGCAAATATTGCCTAGAGATTTCTTAATCTTGAGAAAAGCTAAAAATTTCTGGATAACCTTTCCCTTCGTCTAAAATATTCAGTCTTTCTAACAGCTTAAATACGATTTTCGAAGGTTGTGTTTTACGATACGATACGACGATACGATACTTTATTTAACGTGGATATTACGCTTAGCTATCAGCTAGTTTACAGGTAATCCACGGCCCTAATTATATTCCTAAAATTTAAAATTCCAAAACAAAACAATTCTTGTTAAAAAAATGTCTCCTAAAACTTTCGGTATAAAGACTTCAGGCTTCTAAAGCACAGAGAAAAACCATCTGAGACACTTCTGGTGTATTTGGAAGCATTCGGTCGTTGGTCGCCACTGCTATTTCTTATGTGAAGAGGTTGCTTTGCGCTGAAGGAGCCTTTTCTCAGATTTAGTTATTAAATAAATACATGTATTTTAACATGTACAAACCATACTTCGCCTGGGTTCCACTCATTCGTCAGCAATAAAGTTATCAAATAAACCGTTACCAACAGAAGCAAAATTACTCCAGGTATTTCCACCTTTCGAATGCGTAGGACAGCCGTGTAAGGATTGAAAGGAAGAGGCATCTTTTTGTTTCTGTGACACGACCTCTGGCTTGTAACATGTATGAATATTATTAAATATGTATGCAGATAACCTACGTACATTAGCATTCTGGCGGAGCTCTCGCGCGCGAAGCGCGCGCAGCGGAGCACCATGGATAAGAAAATGTGGTAAACTACCCATCCGAGAAAATTTGGTAATCACGTGACCGTACACCGACCGTCCGTCAGCACCACAGGCATACCAATGTAAAATAGCTCAATCAACAGACTTGACAACCCAAATGCAACTCGAGGTTATTTTGACGGGAAGTCGCCTAGCTACCCGCGTCTTGTGAAGCAGAGACAACTAAGGAGTCAATGAATACGAAAACGGAAAGCGGAAATTGTCCCTGTATCTGTGTTTTCTAAAGTATTAAGCTTAGATTAATTGTCATGTCCACAAATTTGGAATATAGAGAAAGAGAAAGACCGAGAAAAAGAGAAAGTAGGCGGCAGACCAGCGAAGCTCAACGAGAAAAAGGACGACAGAGATCTAGAGCGAGAGTTAAAAAGCAAAGGAGACATTTTTTTTGTTTGGAAGAAAAGCATGAAAATTTTGTAGGGGCGGTAACAAAATGAGGAATGCTAGCGGCCACTGATGCGAGGTGAAAATGAGCGGCAGTGAAAAAAAAGTGAACAACAAAACGTGCGACATTTCCTCCATAAAACGTGTAACTAATTATGGAAGTTTCACGTTGTAGTCGTGCAAAACAACTGCAAAGAAATGTACAAAAAAAGTGTGCTGCACGTGCAAAGTTGCTTTTTTGCTAATTAGACCTATTGTTGTTTTTCACCGTTCTCCGGCGTTGCGGTTTGCCGCTTAGCATTACAGGATTTTATAGCGGAGCTCCTCGCGCGCGCGAAGCACCATGGGTAAGAAAATATGGTAAACTATCCATCGGAGAAAATTTGGTTATGACGTAGCGTACGCCCGCCCGCCCGCCCGCCCGCCCACCCGTACATAGGCTTCATGTAAGCCGATGTCAAATGTCACAATAGATCTTGCACAACTTGACTAGCCTCTTAGTTATGTAAGCCATCCGTATGAGTACGATTAGATTGACAGCTGTCAAAATTAGACATCCGCTGACAATTATCACATGACTATCTCCGGGCTCAGATGAAAGACCAGTCGTTTTGCCCCCACAAATAAGCTGATATAATATGTCAAACTTACCAATTCAACATAAAAACGAAACTACGCCGGGCAAGGCTGTCAGTTGGCTGACAGTCGTTTAAAGTTATATTGGCAAGCCAAATTAAGGTCAGTTGACAGCTGTCAAAATGGGACATGTGCAGACCACTATCAGAAAACTAATAACGTGGGCTCAGGTTCGCTCAGGTACACGATCTGGCATTTTCCACTACATGCCGGACGGATATGTCTTACTCACACTCGTAGTCTGTTAATTCGAATATTCGCCATTCTAATGAAGGTTAATTGACAGCTGTCAAACTAGAGTATACGCTGACCATCATCACCTGAGTGTATCGCGGGCTCATTTGTCTATCCATTGAGGTCACGTAATGTTTAAAGTTTTGCGCTGATATTAGGGAGTTTAAGATCCAACGACGCGGACGACAACTAGAACGTCAAAAAAACAATAGGTTTAATTAGCAAAACAACAACTTCGCACGTGCAACACACTTTTTTGTTCATTTATTTCCTGTTTTTGCACGACTACGACGTGAAAATGCCTAATTTCGCGTTCTATGGAGGACGTAAACAAGCAACGACGAAATTTTATTTCTCTTTCTGAGCTTGAATATGGTCCCTTGAAATTCAGCTTCAGGAGGGTTCGCCTACAATTGACAAAGTAATTGGGTAGGAATAATCGCTATAAAGACTGAAAAAAGTCAAATTCACTTTTTAAGCGACGTTCTTGTCGCCGTCGCGCCGTTGGATCTTAAAGTCCCTATTTTATTTGACCACGGGCTCAATTCGAAGTCCCATAGCTTAGAAAATCTATCCATCTTAGAAAATTCGGCAATCACGTGAACCGTACACCGACCACCCGACCTTCCGTCCGTCCGCACCACAGGTATACCAATGTTTAATCTCACACTTTCTAGCTAGTTTGGGAGCCTGCAACCTGATATTGTACATCCATGTTTTGATTAATTGACAGCTGTCAAAATAGTGTTTCTGCTGACCAGTATCGCCTGACCCTATCGCGGGCTCAGGTATCGACCCACTGAGTTCGAGTGTTTTTTTAACGTATCCGCTGACAGGTTGCTACTTTTTAATTATCGCAGGCTCAAGTTCAATTTTTTTAAAAAGCATATGAAATAAGTCGAGTTCATGAGCCGCACTTTTAAAGTGTTCATTTCGAACTGACCTCGGACGCGAAAATTCAACCGGCTTTTACAACATGCAGGGAAGGCAATCACTTTTGACTTTTCTCACTGTCACGCGTTGATCACGCTCTACGTCTAATTTTTATGTTCTGATTGGTCAAAATTTGACAGGTGAGTTCACGCGGAAAATTTATGCAGCGTCTGGAAACTTGCTTACTGATAGCTGGAGCTTACAGAGTTTTGTGTCATCTTGTGATGTTTTAAACTGGCTTTTTCTACTTGGTGTACAAAATGAAATACAGCTGCTATCAAGATTGTTCTGTAATTCATGGCTGGTTTGTTTATTGCGCTTTTTGTTGACAAATGCACCGCTTGTGAAAGTCATTGGAAATCCGATTTCGGATGGCATCGTTTTCAAAAATGAGCTTACTCACTTGCCCTTGCTTGAGGCGTAAGAGGGTTGAAAATTCTGGAGCACTTGATGACCTTCAGAAGCAGCATCTAGACTGGTAAGCTTGTCTTTGATGTGTGTGTGTTTTTTTTCGATTTCCTGAAGTCGAGCGTACAGTATGTGGTCCTTGGTCCGCGCAAGTCCCCGATGCCCTTGGTCCGCGTCTTTTCCGAAAATGATAAAATATTTAGTCAAGAAAAAAAGTACGTTGAATAAAGAAAGATATCGTGATTTACTGATTAGCATTCTTTCATATGACGAAGTTTCAGCCTTCTTGCTGCGGGTGAAGACGCAAAATTAAAGTTTGTTGACAGGTAGGTTAATTTGTCTTTCTTTAAGTTTGGATTTTTACGGCACCGTAAATTACGTGGTCATGTTTACTTAGCCTGCGAATAACTAAAACGCAACGGTAAGACTTGCCTTTTTGCAGAACAGGTTTTCAGATCAACTTATTTCTGCTGTTGGAAGCATATTGCTGTAGACTCTGAATTTTTTGTTTTAGCGACTCTTGAAAAATATCACCAAATTTCGCTTAGCGGTCCTTGGTCCGCGTCCTATGACCTTGGTTGAATAAAACTTCCCAAAGCAAAAAGCGACGGCCTTTGTTTTCGAAGAATATTTTGAAAGTCGGCCCTATACATGTCTACAAGTTCTCTTTTTTAATACCTCGAGTACATACAGAGTTTTTCGTAATTATTTTCGACCGCGCTAAAAACCGCTCGTCGACGATCGTGTGGGAGACTCGAGGAGACTGTTGTCTGAAGTCTTTGAAAGAAAAGCAGATTATTTTATGCTCACAACATTTTCCGAAAAAAACTTTAGCTTAATTGCATCAAGAAAAGAAAAAAATACAAGAAATACTGTGAAAATCACGTTTTTGTGTGGAAACTATAACATTTTTACGTTTTTATCGTGTTGCCTCCCTGAGACGCGGACCAAAGACCAGATTCGCGGACCAAGGACCATCGAAAACGGTCGCCTTTTTGCCAATTCCAAACAAAATATTTATGTCTGGAACTTGAAACTTCAGGATTATCGACAGAAACATAAAAGCTATCTTCAGGGAGTATTTCAGTTCGTCACATGAAGATTCGGGTAAGATATTCAAGTTAATGACTTTTACACGCGGACCAAGGACCACTTACTGGGGAGAGTTGAAAAAACTGACCCCCACTCCGCGGACTACCCACTGACCCCACTCCGCGGACTACTCTACGGACTACTCCGCGGACTACTCTACGGACTAGTCCGCGGACTACCATGCGGACTACCCTAACTAATCAACCAAATTTACTTTCACGGAGAAAAGAGTTAGAAGAAGCGTACCTGCCTACAAGATCACACTTGATAAACAGCCGCCATCTTGATTTTCGCCATTTTACTCGACCCAGCTCTCCTTTAGCCTCGCCCCAGTCTTCATCGGCCACAAGTCAGAGCACGCCGTTCAGCCAATCGATGACCACTATTGGCGCTGGTAACAGTTTTTGTTATATTCAGCTTAAAAATGTTTTTAAGAACTTACTTATAGCCGTGCTTGGAAGTCACCATATTTTTGGATTCACCTGGCCCACAAGGCCCTTGGAGACGTATTCTCCTACGTAGGGCACGCAGTCGTTATTTGGATCGTCACGCGAGGTTTGGAGAGAAGCGTTGCGTGACGATCCAAGAACGGAAGCTGCAATGGACGTAGCAATGAAGAAGAAGGGCTGGGTCGAGTAAAATGGCGAAAATCAAGATGGCGGCTGTTTATCAAGTGTGATCTTGTAGGCAGGTACGCTTCTTCTAACTCTTTTCTCCGTGAAAGTAAATTTGGTTGATTAGTTAGGGTAGTCCGCATGGTAGTCCGCGGACTAGTCCGTAGAGTAGTCCGCGGAGTGGGGTCAGTGGGTAGTCCGCGGAGTGGGGGTCAGTTTTTTCAACTCTCCCCCACTTACTGTATGGTTTATGCGGCTTAAGTTTATACACCAGCAATGATCTAACCTACAATAGTATCAGGTTTAAAAAGCCTTTAGACATTTTTTGACCGCAAATTCAAAGAAAATGTTCCGAAGATTACTTAGTTATGATTTTGGCTGTAAACAGAAAGCTCTGAGCGATTTTCTTGCCTCGAGTTCATCTTGAAAAAGAGCAAACACCGGGAAGCAGGCTTAAAACATAAATAAGCTTATGCTTACCTGACTCATGATTTTCAGAGACACTTTACTCTCGATACTTCTCTTCGTGAATGAAAATTATTGTCTCTGTACATGTTTGACCGAATTATATTTATTTTATTGATTGTTAGTAGTCCCTCTCGCAATTTTTATCGCTGCACCGGTTGTATCCAGTCGAACATAAACATCGCATGCAGGAATACTCAAAACACCGCGCGTAAATATCACTCGCTTATAAAGATTTATACACATAACAAAACCATACGCAGTTTAATAAATAAAGGGAAATAAAACCTAAACATAACACTTTATCTATCATGTTGAAGCGTAAATTGTAACTCTATTAATCGCACTGCAAATTTGGTGCCTGTCAAAAGTGAGACCCGTCCGGCTGGCCGAAAAGTGATTTTGGGATTTTTTTTATCATTTTCATTAAAAGCCCACAATTATTACCCTGCATATCACATAGGACCAGATTTTTCTAACTGAAAAGTCCTGGCATTATAGAATTCTCTTCATGAAAACGTTTTATAATTCAATGCTATAATTTGTTGTGCAAAGGAAGCGTGTGCTTTGATCGTCGTGGATATTGAATGAGTGCAAATTCTCTTGCAAAATTGTGAAAAACTGCAGAATTATAGGTTTAAATAGGGCAAAAAAGAACAAATTCTGTTCGAGGTCTGTATGATAAAAACAAGGGCCTCATAGTACTGTTTACCTGAGACGTGATGAGAAAAAGTATGTTTAAAAGGCTGGTTTACACGCCACTAGATTCGTCGCCAAGATTTACTAGTAAACTAAACTTGTCGAACACAAAAAATCCGGCCTGATTTTTTATTTTGGCCTCTGTTTTAGACAGAGGAATGCAACGTGTAAATTGGCTGCCACCAAGGACTATCGTGGCGCGTGTGCGTGTTTCTTAAAATTATCTTTCGGGGTTGTCCAATTATCCATAGTCTCTCAAACGGAGCAATGTTGGAGGTACAAATAAGACTATTTAATAACTCGATGTAAAAGCTGTTTCACTCTTGGACTGTCAAATTATTTTTCTCTAAAATCACTTAGCCTTTGCCTCAAACGTCAAATGAATGTGCCCTGATCTGTGGATTACAAGTTCATTGTTTGATTTAAATTATGAATTTATTAACGGGAGCTTCGCTTTTAGCCCTGGCTAAATCTATATATTATTTTGTTTGAGAAAACTGTAAATATTATCGAGAGCTTCGCTTTTAGCCCTGGCTAAATCTATATATTATTTGATAAGCCTGCAGCAATTAAGTACTCTCCTCTGCACAGGCCTCTTTGAGTTGTGGGGAGACTGGGGAGAAAGAAAGACGCGGAATCGTCCCCCGCGCGCTTTCTAAACTCAAATGGCTGCCTATTATCGACCTTATAAAAATAAGAAAACTTGTACTTTTATTCACTATTCTCAATAATCCTGATGCTCCTCTTTGTCTTAAAACGTAAATTCAATTTCTTGTCTTCCATTCGTTTAACTGGTCTGCGCACCAGAGCTTGTGCTTTTAATCTTCAAGTTCCATACCCTAGGTCTAATTCTGGAAAGCGCAAATTTGCTTACCCTGCTGCCACTCTTTTTAATTGCCTTGACACTGATCTTAAGCAAATAGCGTGTGTATCTCCTTCTTCTATTATTTTTTCATCTAGATTAAATAATTTTAGGCATAAACTCTTTATCTTATTCCTTAAGTTTGCTAGAAACGCTTCTCAGCTTGAAGAATTTATTGTAACTGTATTAGAAGGTAATTAGTTTATATCATCTTATATCGATGTTAAACCATACATTTGTCTAGTTCTATTTTTTTCTCTTGTTGTAGTCGTATATTGCTGATTAAGCATTGTTTTTATATGTGTATTCTGTATTGTTGTGAAGGCCGTAAGTTAGATAACTCATTGGGTTATTTCGTCACCTTCGTTAAATAAAGAATATTGTATTGTATTAGATACCGATACCCAGTAGGAGCATCTGCAAAGAGGAGAGTCACTATACCAAGATTTAACACAGTCTCCTTTGGAAAGCACTCGCTCATGTATATGGACCCAAAGGTATGGAGCTCTGTTCCTTGTAACGTGAAAGAAGCTTCCATTCCAAAAACATTCTTTTTTTTTCTTTTTTTAATTAACTAATTTATTTATTCATTCTTTTAAAGTTCTTTTTAGTGTACTGCCTTAGTGGCTCTTCACCGATATTACAGATTGACACTTAAATAAAGGTATCATTATCATTATCATCATCATCATCTAACGATTTCCCGGATGGGATGTACGTATCTAGCTGTAACGTTGTAGTTATGTCCTATCTTGTGAACATGTCCTCTGATGTAATGTGATATGCAAGCCAATCAGGTTATGCGATCTATCGTGGTAGTCGAGGCATAGGACTGGAAAAGAATCTCCGTTGCAGTTTGGTCTTCGAGCAAAATTTGCAGTTGTAGTGGGTCGGGGACGGTAGTAAAATTTGTCTTGCAAGGTTAAGTAAACACAACTGCAACGCTACATCTTGCCTGCGAGCAAGCTCTCTCTCTTGGGAGCTCTTGGATGGGCCCTGGGCAAGAGATTGCGCCCATGCAGAGGATACACCCGTGAGGCGGCGACAACAAGAAAACGTCACTGCGAGTAGATTTATACTCATGTAATTTTTTTTTAATATTCTGCTTAAAAAATTACAAGATATTTGCTTGTCACCCTCTGCCATCCTGTGGTTCAAGAGCTACTGTCAAACAGGTACCAAGCTGTGCGTATAAATACTGCTCTTTCCGAACCCCTTCTAATGAGGTACGGTGTTCCCCAAGGAAGCATCCTCGGTCCTTTGCTCTTCACGGCTTACACCAATGACTTGCCATCAATCCCACAACACTGTTCCACGGACTGCTACGTTGATGACACTAAATTGCTTATGTCATTCCAAGTGCAGGACTGTGAAACGACTATGGCCGCGATGAACGATGATCTTATTAAACTACGTAATTGGTGTTTTAATAATAGGCTACTCCTGAACCCGGACAAGACTAAACTGATTGTATATGGAAGTCGGCAAATGATATCGAAACTTCAGGATTTTCGCCTTACCCTCTTGGGTAAAGAACTTTTACCCGTCGACTCTGTTAAGGACCTGGATGTAGTGTTTGATAGTAAACTCTCATTCAAGGACCACATAATTAAAACAGCATCATCTTGTATGTCTGCCCTAGGGAAAATTAGCCCAGTTAAACATATATTTAGAAAAGACATACCTTGTTACAATAATTAATTCTCTCGTGTTAAGTAAGTTGTATTACTGCTCGTCCGTCTGGTCGAATACTTCTGCCAGCAATATACGCAAACTGCAAGGAGTACAGAATTTCGCTGCTCGCATAGTTTCTGGGACAAGGAAGTTTGATCACGTATCTCCAGCCCTGAAAGACCTGAGATGGATAGCAGTTAAGTCTCACCTGTATCTAAGAGACGCCATCTTGGCCTTTAAATCTATGACAGGTCAGGTACCAAACTACTTCAGTTCAAATTTTATCTCCAGAGGGAATATCAGTGGTCGGACGACCAGATCATCTTCCCAGCTTAATATACCGCTTTTTAAAACCAAGTCGGGACAGAGATCTTTTTATTACAGAACTGTAACATTGTGGAATGCGTTAAAACCCCATTTTAAATTAAGGGAATCTCTTATCATTTTCAAACGTAAAATGAAAGCCTTCCTTTTAAATCAATTTTTGATATCATAAATTTATATGTAAATAGTTTCTTAATAGTTTATTGATAATCAATTTGTGATACCTTTTTTTGTTCTTTTTTTGATTACCTGTACTATTAACACTTGTCTCTGAAAAGCCCCCATGGGGAGTTGACAGTAAAATTTGTATTGTATTGTAGAGTGGTTTTCGTTTGAGTGTCGTAAAACCAAAACCAAAGTAATTACTCTGGCCAATCACATAGGACACAGACAATACATTGAACAAATCAAAACTCGAAGTAATTACATGTGGCTGACGCAAAGCGCGGGAAAATCGTGCGAGCGCGTCACAATCGGCTTTGGTTTTACTTCTGATTGGATGAAAAGGTGGCGCGAATCTTTTAAGCCAATCGCATCGTGTAGAAAGTGCAAAACCAATTACTTTTCGACACTCAAATGAAAACCGCTCTATTGCATGTTAAGCGTGAAGACTCCCCCAGTAGAAAAGAGAAGCCGTTACGTCACGTTACCATGGTAGCAAAATCTGGATGACAACAAACAGAAAACGTGAATTCGCACTTTTTAAAACTTCATTGATCTTGTTCAACTTCATTTAATTTGCCAAATGTTAGCGCAGTTTTCTGGCGTTGAATCGAAAAGAACCGTATCTGAGTTAAGAAAGAAAAGAAACATTTTTGTGTTGTGTTCACCTACTCCATAAAACAGATCCGTGATCAGGACATTTCATGTCGCCGTCGAGCAATAACAGCTAAGTATTGTACAATACGCGTGATGCGCTTGCAAAGTTCCCTTATTAGAGGAAATCAATGCTCCATGAAAATAAAGTATTAGAAATTAACGCGACGTAGTGTAGTGTTAGTCATTGTCTTAGCCGAAGATATCACGTTGACCGTTGCAAAAACGAACAGACTGAAAAGAATAGTGTTTTTTACAGTAATGTTTATTAGACGATTTTATCAGGTGATTTTTTTTTCTAGATTACATTGCGTTTAAGCAAGATTACTTGTAGTCATTTTTAAAGGTTTCTCCGCTTCCTCTCTAGATAAACTATTTAAAGTATCGGTCTACTTCATTGAATGTTCACCCTTATCATTAGGTTCAAACCACTGCTAAGCAGGCTAACTTTCAGCCCAATGTTATAACTGCCCGTTAACAGTATTCCGTCCAAGACCTCTAATTTATTAAAAAACGGAATTACTTTCCTCGTAGATATGTATTTGCTATAGATACTGGCTTTTTAATCGTGCATGAGATCGGATAGAGGCCCTGGGAAATCGTAATTAAACATTTCAAAGTCTTCTTCAAAGGCCTTACCCAGCTGAGCGATCTTCTCCTTCGGAATCGGGGCATAGTTTTTAAGAAGTTTACTTGTAGTATTGTGGGTATGAAACGGAGGAAAGGTCACCGCCCGATCCATTCGTGTTTGCCGTAGGATATGAAGTGCTTCTTCTGGCATGTCCTCAAAATGACCGATGAAATCGTACTCTATATCACACGGGTGACAAATTGTGCCGTACGATCGCCAGTGTGCATCTCTATCAAACCCAACATCACTCACATAATAGATGAACTTCTTAAAAGTAAGATCCTGGTCAGAACTATGGGAGCTAAGTTCATCTTGTTTGTATCTTTCCAAAATTTTCGTTTTAAAACTTTGAATCCTCGTCCAAGGCCATTGGTTGTTTACAAACTTGTTTTTGTAGGCTGACAAAAGCCTCTCGAGTGGTTCGCGAACAAATAGAAACTTAAAGTAAGATTTTAGCCTCACTTTAATATCCTCGTCCGAATAATCATATAAGAGAAATTTATAATGTTTGTTATCATGCACATCATCCACATCGATGCGGTTATCAAGAGCAAGAAAGACACGTTTCCATTGACTGCAGGCCACCTTGGGAATATAGCAGAAGATTACTCTGTACTCATCGTTAACAATTATAGGATGATGGTATTGATCGCTTCGATTTCTGCTTGAAGCGTGCTTCCCACAGTAGTCTCTGAGTCGCTGCTGTCGCTCACTTTGTCTCTGTTTAATCCGCTCCAAAAGGTGATCATCCTTCTCTATCTGAAAAGTGGATTCACTAACGTGAGAGCTTTAGCCAGAAGGTTCGATTAGAAATAAGGACAATCAGGATTAGCTTAGTCGGTAGGGCCGCTTAAACCGTGTAAACTGGCACCCAAGTAGTGTCCCTAATTAGTACTTTGAATACAACATTGACACTCAAATAAAGTGCATTTTTTACACAAACAGGCTGAACAGGAAATGAAACAAGCAAACCATTTTACGTTTCTGGGAAACTGCCCCACCTACCCCTCCCCTAAGCCAGCACTTTGCCCTAAGTAGGAAGTAAGTGTTAATGTTGGCTTAGGGGAGGGGTAGGTGGGCAGTTTCCCAGAAACGTAAAATGATCCACAAAGTCTTCTACCTACAACTCCAGCCGGTCCGTACTACCTTTCCCATCTCTTAATTCTTTAGTATAGTTGAGAATTTGTCGACATGAGTCCATTTAAAAGACATTAAACAATCTCGCAAACAAAACGATTGTTAGAGAGGATAAAATCGAGACAGATAAATATTTGCCTGCGTAGCAAGCGTTTCCGTTACGGATTTTCGGTTTTGGCCGCGCGAAACCGCACAGAAACGCCTTTGCTATGCTGGCTAGATAAACGTCATTCTCCTATACTATTAACATCTGTAATAACACGACGTGATTTAACCTACCTTGAGTTGTTTTTTAGCAATGCCTGCTGTTTTATCTACTTCGGGCAAGAACCTGACAACTTCAACATCTATGGAGGAAGTAATGTCAGTTACAGGGAAACAAAAGATGAAAAATAAATAACAATTATTCACCGAAGTGGAGGTGGCTACTCCTGGATATTTACCGAACTGCGAAGCAGTGAAGTAAATATCCACGACTAGTCACCGACACTGAGGTGAATAATTGTTTTAGTATATACTAAAACAGTGAGATAATTGAGCACAAAAATGACGATTTTTAACTCAAATACTGTTGCCAACGATNGTCACCGACACTGAGGTGAATAATTGTTTTAGTATATACTAAAACAGTGAGATAATTGAGCACAAAAATGACGATTTTTAACTCAAATACTGTTGCCAACGATTACAATTTTGGCGCGTAATGACCGGAGGGCCGCGGCCGTTGCTTTTTCTTGCCGACAATTAAAACTTTTGAAGGCATTTGTTTAGCTCTTGCGGGGAAATTTGTTCAAAAGGAGTTGTTAATTCTTTTTGTATTTAAAATCATTCTATAAAAAAAAGATTATTAAATTTAGTTTTAAGCTTATTTATGAACAAATCAACTAACTAAAGTAAGCACGACTTAAACTTAATTTGCATTTGTAAACAAAAAACTTTTTCACCGGTTTTATCGATAAATTCGTGTCAAAAAGACAAAGCTTTACCTGTTAAAACTTCCAATGCGAACTTCGTCACCTTCTTCGTGTATTTCGGAAACAGCTTGATTGATTAGTTGTGAAATTTCTTTGTTTGTTTACGGCAGCAAACCAGAAAGGCATTTTGCTCGCAACTTACGCGAATTTGGCGTCGCTCGCTCGGAGGAACTGGAGGTGAATCAGTGAATAGTGCAGGATATTCACTAATTGAGTAGCCAATCAGAGCGCGCAAAAAACACTATCCACTGTTTTAGTATATACTAAAAAGTATTATCGAGTTAAAATAAAGCCTCACTTTAATTACAATTTTTCTTGACCAATAGTTATCATTATTGCCCGCGCCAATAATGAAATCGGCCAGCGGACGTTAAATTTCCACAAATCCATGGCCTGCCCTTAGCGTTTCCTTGACAAGAGTCCTTGTTGAGTCATTACCGCTGGTAAATATTAATCCTGACAAGTGTTCACTCTTGATAGCTCTCCTTGTCAAAATGCTAGCGCGCCAGTTTTTTCGTCAGGGAGAGCTGCCAAGGACAACTTCTGTAGGAAACATCTCTGACGTTAATTAGCCATAAAATGCCATATATATCAGTTGCCTAATGAATATGTGATTAAAACCTTTCTGTTAATAATATCAAATAAAGGAATATTGCTTATCCAAATAATCGCAGCATTATATCATGTGTTAAGCCAAGAGTGATTGATTCACGTTCAGTCGTAACCATTAAGTAATGGTTTTAACACATTTAAAAGAGAAAAAATGCAAAACATATTTATTTAATGAGACATTTTAATTTCTGAGTTTCAAACTTTCATTACCCAAGCCTTTCTGTAAAAAAAAAATAAAAGATAAAAAATAAAAAGTTGGACACTGACTATTTTGGAAAACCTTAAGGTAAAAAAGAAGTAACAAATGTAACGGCGGGAGTCTCTAATAGACAGCTATAGACAGTCATTTCATCGCTAAAACTCTGGCTAGTTTGAAGTTAATGCAGGAGATGGCGATTATTTTTCTTTGTGAGGAAATTTTGATCGAAACAAATTGCAGAACAGCAAGTTACATGCATTACGTTTGAAGTATTTCTTGGTCCAGTCGAGTGTTCCAAATGGTTAAAGAAGCGTTCAACTGAACATTAATTAGAAAAAAAAGCAGGAAGGATTCAGTTTGGTAGTGAACTGTGGCAGCAGTTTTGTTACACGTAATTCATGCCACATACGTATCTGACGAAAGGAAAGTGCGGGTAGTAAAAGAACCATTTTTCTATTTTTGAAGTTAGTTAGTTAGCCAATAACGAATAAGGAAAATCATTGTCCTTTATCGGTCAAGATATATACAAGAATTGAAATTTGAAAAAGGTAAAATGGTAGCTTACCTCGGTACAGAGCAACCATGTACATGGCCAGCAGAATCAGTAAAATGATCAGAGATACAATCAACTTTCTCCGAAGTGGAACAGCCATTAAAGAAATGAAAATAAGATACGTTGTCGGTTTATATTCAACAGCTGATCATTTGTTTGTTGCTCAGCTTTGCTTTATCGTTTGTAAGGTATTTCTCTTTACCTTCACACATGCGCAGTACTGACTCTGATCACGTGCCTTACGATATTTACTCGAAAAAGCGGCGGAGCTCATTCAACTTTTCTTCTTGCCGCACTTTGTTTGGGGGCGGCGTTTATTTGGAAACAAAGCTTATTCAAAACCTCTTATTTGCCAGTAACACAGTACCACGAGCACGTTATTATCTCTGTTTAGCAAGGAGCCCATTCAAAGTTATTTCAAATTGTCTGTACCATATTTGAGATCGAAGCCCAAGAGCGGAGCTTCAACTAGCCTAACTGCACGTATTTACTTGAAACAATAAACTTGAAATCACTACAAATCAACCTTGTAAAAAATGTGTATGTATGTGTGGTTTCAAAATATCAGGTTTCGTGTGGAGGGGACCTTACACTCGGAGTACATTAACATAATTGACACTTAATTGAGGGGCCGCTTACAGGGCTTTCCAAAAGTTGCTCGGCAACGTTTTGGCAACTTCTCGTATTTCGAGCCTTCGACCTCCTCGAACGCACGCGCACCAACTCCAGCTCAATCATCACTGTTCCTCTTCGTAGTTGGGGCCAATCTCAGGGCACCTTTGGGTATCCTGTCACTGGGTATCCTTAGGACATGACCAAGCCATTACAGTCTGTGGTTCTTGATTTAATACTGTCCCAGTTCTTATGCCGTTCCTTATCAGTGATCTTGTTGGCTCAGTAGTTATCGCAAATCTTACTGAGGTAGCTCTTTCTCATATCTCCTTTCTTTACTCTCCAGCACTTTCAAAAGAACAGCCTTACCAATGCTGCTTTAAAGCCTGATCTTAGACTTCCAGACGTTGCGGAATCGACCGAAAGCACTTCTGGCTTTAATAAGGCGAGCCTTGGTGTCTTTATGGGCACCATTGTCATTACTAATAAGGCTTTCGAGATAAGTGAAATGGTCAATGCAATCCAGCTCAGTAGTTCCTTTCCACTGATGGTGATTGGGAGTGCTGTAGGGGTATTGACATCAGTAAATCACCTGGGTCTTTGTAACGATAATGAGCGGACCGGTTTGCTTTGCAAAATTGTTTTGTAGGTTGCATTTTTGCCTGAGATGGCTGAGTGGCTGACATGTCTGCCAGATCATCGGCAGAGTCATGTTCTTCTAAATGTGAGACCAAGGTCCACTCGATTCCACGGGGACGGTCTGAGCTTGTTTCACCCAGTCTATGGCTACTAGAAGCAAGATTGTAGAGAGAATAAAACTCTGTTGTACTCCAGACTTGATGGGAAATGACTCTGGCACAGAATTCTCTAAGATAACACAGCTGCATTCGAAGAGTTCATAAAATGTCCTTCTGATGGTAACAATCTAAGGTGGTAGTCCGTATGCCCTTAAGATCTTCCACACTGTCGAATGCTTTCTCAAACACGATGAAGTTGGTAAACAAGGGAACATTCCATTCAATGCACTGTTCAGAGATGTTCTGGTGAGGAAAATCTCCGACTATGCAGCCTCGGCCTTTACGAAATCTAGTCTGTTCGGGTCTCAACTTTGGATCTATGGCACTATCAATCATTTTGAGAAATGTTCTGCAGAATACCTTGCTGGGAATGAGCTGAAATGGAGAGAGGTGTTATGCCTCGCCACAGTTGTTACAATTGTTGAGGCCCTCTTCTTCGGAATCTTGTGTATTAGGCGAATACTACAATCTATAGGAATCCCTAAAAGAGATCGGCAAGANCACTCGATTCCACGGGGACGGTCTGAGCTTGTTTCACCCAGTCTATGGCTACTAGAAGCAAGATTGTAGAGAGAATAAAACTCTGTTGTACTCCAGACTTGATGGGAAATGACTCTGGCACAGAATTCTCTAAGATAACACAGCTGCATTCGAAGAGTTCATAAAATGTCCTTCTGATGGTAACAATCTAAGGTGGTAGTCCGTATGCCCTTAAGATCTTCCACTCTGTCGAATGCTTTCTCAAACACGATGAAGTTGGTAAACAAGGGAACATTCCATTCAATGCACTGTTCAGAGATGTTCTGGTGAGGAAAATCTCCGACTATGCAGCCTCGGCCTTTACGAAATCTAGTCTGTTCGGGTCTCAACTTTGGATCTATGGCACTATCAATCATTTTGAGAAATGTTCTGCAGAATACCTTGCTGGGAATGAGCTGAAATGGAGAGAGGTGTTATGCCTCGCCACAGTTGTTACAATTGTTGAGGCCCTCTTCTTCGGAATCTTGTGTATTAGGCGAATACTACAATCTATAGGAATCCCTAAAAGAGATCGGCAAGAACCAAGTATGCAGTGGTGGAGCCTACCTTTGACTTCACTATGCTCAGATTATGGAGCTCTGTTCCTGATAGCGTGAAAGAAGCTTCCATTCCATTAACAATCTGTTTTTTTAATTAATTAATTAATTAAGTAAGTAAGTAATTTATTTATTTATTCTTTTAAAGTTATTTTAGTGTCCCCACTGAGTGGCTCTTAACCACTATTACAGATTGGCAAATAAAGGTATCATCATCATCATCATCATCATCATCATCTAACGATTTCCCACATGGGATGTACGTATCTAGCCTGCGAGCAAGCTCTCTGGGGAGCTCTTGGGTAGGCCCTGTGCACCAGATTGCGCCCAAACAAAGGATACACCCGTGACACGGCGACAACAAGAAAACGTCGCTACGTGTAGATTTATACTCATGTTAAACGTGAAGACTCCCCAGTAGAAAAGGAGAAGCCGTTACGTCACGTTGCCATGGTAGCAAAATCTGGATGACCACCAACCAAAAACGTGAATTTGCACTTTTTCAAACTTCATTGATCTTATTCAACTTCATTTAATTTGCCAAGTGTTGGCGACATTTTCTGGGGTTGAATCGAAAAGAACCATATCTGAGTTAAGAAACAAAAGGAAAATTTTTGTGTTGTGTTCACCTACTCCATAAATTGATTAAAACGTTTCATGTCACCGTCGAGCAATGACAGCTAAGAATTGTACAATACGCGTGATCCACGTGCAAAGTTACCCTGTCAGAGGAAATTAACACTACATGACATTAAGGTATTAGAAATTAACGCCACTTAAATTAACGCGAATTTAGTAGAAAACGACTTTTGAATAAATGAAATTAACTCGCGAAAGAGAGGGTAACATTTCAAAATGAAGGAAATTAACTCGACGTGAACAAAGAAACAAAACTTGCTGAGACAACAGCAACGAAGATTAAACGTAAAATGCGAAACGGAAACTTTGTTCGTGGTTCTTTCCTTAAACGTTAAGCAAAGAAATCTGGCCACTTCAAGTTCTTCACAGTTTTACTGTTGCTGGGGGATCTTCACCCTCATAAAGTACTCCTCTTTCTTAGGTCTCGAGAACGTCAGAAGTGTATTGGGAATTTGGGGTCAAAAAACATGGAAATTAAGGTCGCGAAATTAACGCTACACTTAATTAACGTCGCGGAAATTGACGTTTACGGAAATTAACGCGACTAAAATTAATGGGAATTTTGGAAATTCTCGTTAATTTCCTCTGATAAGGAATGGTTTTGCTCATATAAACCATCGCTTTTTTGCCGTTTTCGTTGCCGTCGCCGTCGTCGTTGCTTAAACCGTTTTTATCCAGAAATTTGGGTCCCTTGGTAACGTGACGTAACACATCTCTTCTCTACTACGCTGCCTCCAATCACTATACGAATAAATCTCGGGGTTCTGAGAAAACACTTGAATTCGCTTAAGCTGTTTTCTTAGAAGTAAGATGTGCCAGGAAGGGGTACCTGGCACGCAGGCTAAGGTGGTAAGGGCAGAGGAGACTACTACGTTTCCCCCCTCACGCCACCACGACGTTGGTCTTCGCCCATACATAATTTCCTACTCTGCCTAGTCTGTCTTTCTAGAAAGCATTCGCTAAAAAGTAGAGATTTGTTTATAGAGGAAATGCACATAGCTTTCCCCTCACCCTGTTTTTTGCCTTTTTTCCCCACTACAGAGCCTGGTCTCAGGCTACTGGAGGGCTAAAATATATAAAATATCAGCAAGTCCACAGTAACGAGCCAATGAGTGGTGCCGGATCTCCCAGTTGTAGACATGGATCAGTACAATTAAACTTAAATAGGTTTAAATATATAGTTTTTGTTTTATTCATTTGTTTACTTCTTGATCGCCTTGCCGTTAGAATCAGTTTGCCGTTTCATACTTTTCTACTGGAGGGCTTGCAGAAGCCCGCTATGAGAATTGTCTCGCCGCATGTCACCTATCGGGAGGCACTAGGACTCTCTAGTTTAGAGACACTGTTTGATCGGAGAAAGGTTTAAAGGGTCGAAATGTTTCAGGACATACATCAATAATCCCCTGAATCGAGGATCATACTTATTTTTACCAGAGCCAAACAAATGTTGTGTTAGTAATTGTCTTAATCTTCGATAATCTAAGAAATAACCGAAGATGTCACGTTAACCGTCGCCAAAACAAACGAACCAAAAAGAATAGTGATTTTTACCGTCATGTATATCAGACGATTTTATTAGGTGATTTTTTTCTAGATTACATTGTAGAGTTTAAGCAAAATTATTTGTTGCCATTTTTAAAGTTTTATCCTATTTACCGCTAGATAAACTATTTACTGTATCTGTCTACTTCATTAAATGTTTTCTCTTATTCCCATATCACTTAGTATGTCAAAAGGCCCCATGCACGAGCGAGTCAATTTCAGGTAGGCTACGTAGCAGGAGTCCCAGTCTCCAGCCTGGTGGGGAGTACCGCGGGTGCATCGAAACACCCACGGCTGGAGACTGTGCCTAGCGTAGCAGACACTCGTAAGTAACATGGGCGCAAGAAAGAAAAAAAAATCGGAATTACTTTCCTCGTAGATATGTATTTGCTATAGATACTGGCTTTTTAATCGTGCATGAGATCGGATAGAGGCCCTGGAAAATCGTAATTAAACATTTCAAAGTCTTCTTCAAAGGCCTTACCCAGCTGAGCGATCTTCTCCTTGGGTATCGGGGCATAGCTTTTAAGAAGTTGACTTGTAGTATTGTGGGTAAGAAACGGAGGAAAGGTCACCGCCCGATCCATTCCTGTTTGCCGTAGGATATAAGGTGCTTCTTCTGGCATGTCCTCAAAATGACCGATGAAATCGTACTCTATATTACACGGGTGACAAAGTGGGCCGTACGATCGCCAGTGTGCATCTCTATCAAACCCAACATCACTCACATAATAAATGAACTTCTTAAAGGTAAGATCCTGGTCAGAACTATTGGAGCTAAGTTCATCTTGTTTGTATCTTTCCAAAATTTTCGTTTGATAACTTTGAATCCTCGTCCAAGGCCATTGGTTGTTTACAAACTTGTTATTGTAGGCTGACAAAAGCCTCTCGAGTGGTTCGCGAACAAATAGAAACTTAAAGTAAGATTTTAGCCTCACTTTAATATCCTCGTCCGAATAATCATTAAAGAGAGATTTATAATGTTTGTCATTATGCACATCATCCACATCGATGCGGTTATCAAGAGCAAGAAAGACACGTTTCCATTGACTGCAGGCCACCTTGGGAATATAGCAGAAGATTACTTTGTACTCATCGTTAACAATTATAGGATGATTGTATTGATCGCTTCGATTTCTGCTTGAAGCGTGCTTCTCACAGTAGTCTCTGAGTCGCTGCTGTCGCTCAGTTTGTCTCTGTTTAATCCGCTCCAAAAGGTGATCATCCTTCTCTATCTGAAAAGTGGATTGACTAACGTGAGAACTTTAGCCAAAAGGCTCGATTAGAAATCAGGACATTCAGGATTAGCTTAGTCGGTAGGGGTGCTTAAACCGTGTAAACTGGCGGCAAGTAGTGTCCCTAATTAGTACTTCAAATGCAACATTGGCACTCAAATAAAGTGCATTTTTTACACAAACAGGCTAAACAGGACGTGAAACAAGCAAAACATTTTACGTTTCTGACAAACTGCCGACCTACCCCTCCCCTAAGCCAGCATTTTGCCCTAAGTGAGAAGTAAGTGTTAATGTTGGCTTAGGGGAGGGGTAGGTGGGCAGTTTCAAAGAAACGTAATCTTCTACCTACGTCCCTGGCAGGTCCGTACTACCTTTCCCATCTCTTAATTCTTTAGTATAGTTGAGACTTTTTTGACACGAGTCCATTTAAAAGACATTAAACGATCTCGCATACAAAACGATTGTTAGAGAGGACAAAATCGTGACAGATAAATATTTGCCTGCGTAGCAAGCGTTTCCGTTACGGATTTTCGGTTTTGGCCGCGCGAAACCGCACAGAAACGCCTTTGCTACGCTGGCTAGATAAAAGTCATTCTCCTATACTATTAACACCTGTAATAACACGACGTGATTTAACCTACCTTGAGTTCTTTTTTAGCAATGCCTACTGTTTTATCTACTTCGGGCAGGAACCTGACCACTTCAACTTCTATAGAGGAAGTAATGTAAGTTACAGGGACAACAACGATGGAAAATAAAAATTACCATCGAGTTAAAATAAAGCCTCTCTTTAACTGCAATTTTTCTTGACCAATAGTTATCATTATTGCCCGCGCCGACAAATCCTTGGCCTTCCCTTGGCGTTTCCTTGACAAGAGTCCTTGTTGAGTCATTACCACTGGCAAATATCAACCCTGCCAAGTTTTCAGTCTTGACAAGGAATTGCCAAGGACAACTTCTGTAGGAAACATCTCTGACGTTAATTAGCCATAAAATGCCATATATATCAGTTGCCTAATGAATATGTGATTAAAACCTTTCTGTTAATAATATCTAACAAAGGAATATTGCTTATTCAAATAATCTCAGCATTATATCATGTGTAAAACCAAGGGTGATTGATTCACCTTCAGTAGTAACCATTTAAGTAAAGGTTTTAACACATTTAAAGGAGAAAAAATGCAAAACATATTTATTTAACGAGACATTTTAATTTCTGAGTTTCAAACTTTCATTACCCAAGGCTTTCAGTAAAACAAAAAAAATAAAAAATAAAAAATAAAAAGTAGGACACTGACTCTTTTGGAAAACCTTAAGGTATAAAAGAAGTAACAAACATAACGGCGGGAGTCTCCCATAGACAGTCATTTCATCGCTAGAAACTCTGGCTAGTTTGAAGTTAACGCAGGAGATGGCGATTATTTTTCTTTGTGAGGAAATTTTGATAGAAACGTATTGCAGAGGAGCAAGTTACATGCGTTACGTTTGACATATTTCTTCGTCCAGTTGAGCGTTCCAAATGGTTAAAGAAGGGTTCAACTGAACATTAATTAGAAAAAAAAACGCAGGAAGGATTCAGTTATGTAGCACTGCATGAAAAATTGGATTTACACAAATTTACTCAGTGTAAATATGGTGCAAAAAAAGGCCAAGCTAGGGGGAAATGAAAAGCAAAGATGGTAAATACCGCATTTGCTTGCCAGTTTATATGAGGGTGTAAATTTTAGGGCAAATGCGGTATTTATGATCTTTGCCCTTTATTTAACCTTAGTTTACACTTTTTTGCACCAAATTTGCCCTGAGTAAATTTGGTGTAAATCCAATTTTCGTGCAGTGTAGTGAACTGTGGCAGCAGTTTTGATACACGTAATTCATGCCGCATACTTATCTGACGAAAGGAAAGTGCGCGGAGTGAAAGCACTATTTTTCTATTTTTGAAGTTAGTTAGTTAGCCAACAAACGAATAACGAACAAAAGTGTCCTTTATCGGTCAAGATATATAAAAGAATTGAAAGTTGAAAAAGGTTAAATGGTAGCTTACCTCGGTACAGACCAACCATGTACATGGTCAGCAGAATCAGTAAAATGATCAGAGATACAAACAAATTTCTCCGAAGTGGAACAGCCATTAAAGAAATGAAAATAAGATACTTTGTCGGTTTATATTCAACAGTTGATCATTTGCTTGTTGCTCAGCTTTGCTTTATCGTTTGTAAGGTATTTCTCTTTACCTTCACGCATGCGCAGTACTGACTCTGATCACGTGCCTTACGATATTTACTAGAAGAAAGCAGAGGATCTCATTGAACTTTTCTTCTTGCCGCGCTTTGTTTGGGGGCGGTGTTTATTTGGAAACAAAGCTTATTCAAAACCTCCTATTTGCCAGTAACACAGTACCACGCGTACGTTATTAGGGCCATTTATACGAGGAAAAATAAGACGAATAGAACAGCCCTTAACACCTGTTCTTAGATAAGACGCGTCTTAGCTAAGACGAGGAAAACGTCGTATAAATGACCTTCACGTCTTACATAAGACGCGAACGCATAGTACGCATGCGTAAATTTTTGGCGCGCCACGTTGGATTGCCGTTGCTACGGGCGACATTCACATAAAAACGAGTCAAGAACAGAAATAAGACGCGAACCATTTATACGAGCTGCTCTTGTCTTAGATAAGAGATGCTCGTATAAATGGTGCAGTTCGCGACTTATTTAAGACGCGTGTTATGTAAGACGCGTCTTTTTTTCCTCGCATAAATGGCCCTAATATCTCTGTTTAGCAAGGAGCCCATTTAAAGTTATTTCAAATTGTCTGTACATATTTGAGATCGAAGCCCAAAAGCGGCTCTTCCTTAACTAGCCTAACTGCACGTGTTTACTTGAAACAATAAACTTTAACTCACTACAAAGCAATCTTGTAAAAAATTTATATGTATGCGTGGTTTCAAAATATCAGGTTTCGTGTGGAAGGGACCTTACACTCGGAGTACATTAACATTATTGACACTTAATTGAGGGGCCGTTTACGGGGCTTTCCACAAGTTGCTGGGCAATTTTTTGGCAACTTCTCGTATTTCCAGCCTTCGACCTCCCTTAACGCACGCATACCAATTCCAGCTCAATCATCACTGTTCCTCTCCTCTTCCTTTTCTTTACTCTCCAGCACTTTCAAAAGAACAGCCTTACCAATGCTGCTTTAAAGCCTGATCTTAGACTATCAGATGTTGCGGAATCGTCTGAAAGCACTTCTGGCTTTAATAAGGCGAGCCTTGGTGTCATTATGGGCACCATTGTGACTACTAATAAGGCTATCGAGATAAGTGAAATGGTCAATGCAATCCAGCTCAGTAGTTCCTTTCCACTGATGATGATTGGGAGTGCTGTAGGGGTATTGACATCAGTAAATCACCTGGGTCTTTGTAACGATAATGAGCAGACCGCTTTGCTTTGCAAAATTGTTTTGTAGGTTGCATTTTTGCCTGAGATGGCTGAGTGGCTGACATGTCTGCCAGATCATCGGCAGAGTCATGTTCTTCTAAATGTGAGACCAAGGTCCACTGGATTCCACGGGGACGGTCTGAGGTTGTTTCACCTAGTCTATGGCTACTAGAAACAAGATTGGAGAGAGAATAAAACTCTGTTGTACTCCAGACTTGATGGGAAATGACTCTGGCACAGAATTCCCTAAGATAACACAGCTGCATTCGAAGAGTTCATAAAATTTCCTTCTAATGGTAACAATCTAAGGTGGTAGTCCGTATGCCCACACTGTCGAATGCTTTCTCAAAGACAATGAAGTCGGTAAACAAGGGAACATTCCATTCAATGCACTGTTCAGTGATGTTCTGGAGAGGAAAATTTCCAACTCTGCAGCCTCGGCTTTTACGAAATCTAGTCTGTTCGGGTCTCAACTTTGGATCTATGGCACTATCATTCATTTTGAGAAATGTTCTGCAGAATACCTTGCTGGAAATGAGCTGAAATGGAGAGAGGTGTTATGCCTCGCCACAGTTGTTACAATTGTTGAGGCCCTCTTCTTCGGAATCTTGTGTATTAGGCGAATACTACAATCTATAGGAATCCCTAAAAGAGATCGGCAAGAACCAAGGATGCAGTGGTGGCGCCTACCTTTGACTTCACTATGCTCAGATTATGGAGCTCTGTTCCTGATAGCGTGAACGAAGCTTCCATTCCATTAACAATCTGTTTTTTTAATCAATTAATTAAGTAAGAAAGTAAGTAATTTATTTATTTATTTATTTATTCTTTTAAAGTTATTTTAGTGTCCCCACTTAGTGGCTCTTAACCACTATTACAGATTGGCAAATAAAGGTATCATCATCATCATCATCATCTAACGATTTCCCACATGGGATGTACGTATCTAGCCTGCGAGCAAGCTCTCTGGGGAGCTCTTGGGTAGGCCCTGTGCACCAGATTGTGCCCAAGCAAAGGATACACCCGTGACACGGCGATAACAAGAAAACGTCACTACGTGTAGATTTATACTCATTTTAAGCGTGAAGAGTCCCCAGCAGAAAGGAGAAGCCTTTACGTCACGTTGCCATGGTAGCAAAATCTGGATGACCACCAACCAAAAACGTGAATTTGCACTTTTTCAAACTTCTTTGATCTTATTCAACTTCGTTTAATTTGCCAAGTGTTGGCGAAATTTTCTGGGGTTGAATCGAAAAGAACCATATCTTAGTTAAGAAACAAAAGGAAAATTTTTGTGTTGTGTTCACCTACTCCATAAATTGATTAGAACGTTTCATGTCACCGTCGAGCAATGACAGCTAAGAATTGTACAATACGCGTGATGCACGTGCAAAGTTACCCTATTAGAGGAAATTAACACTACATGAAATTAAGGTATTAGAAATTAACGCCACTTAAATTAACGCGAATTTAGTAGAAAACGACTTTTGAATAAATGAAATTAACTCGCGAAAGAGAGGGTAACATTTCAAAATGAAGGAAATTAACTCGACGTGAACAAAGAAACAAAACTTGCTGAGACAACAGCAACGAAGATTAAACGTAAAATGCGAAACGGAAACTTTGTTCGTGGTTCTTTCCTTAAACGTTAAGCAAAGAAATCTGGCCACTTCAAGTTCTTCACAGTTTTACTGTTGCTGGGGGATCTTCACCCTCATAAAGTACTCCTCTTTCTTAGGTCTCGAGAACGTCAGAAGTGTATTTGGAATTTGAAATTAGAAATTAACGCCACTTAAATTAACGCGAATTTAGTAGAAAACGACTTTTGAATAAATGAAATTAACTCGCGAAAGAGAAGGTAACATTTCAAAATGAAGGAAATTAACTCGACGTGCACAAAGAAACAAAACTTGCTGAGACAACAGCAACGAATATTAAAACGGAAACTTTGTTCGTGGTTCTTTCCTTAAACGTTAAGCGAAGAAATCTGGCTACTTCAAGTTCTTCACAGTTTTACTGTTGCTGGGGGATCTTCACCCTCATAAAGTACTCCTCTTTCTTAGGTCTCGAGAACGTCAGAAGTGTATTGAGAATTTGGGGTCAAAAAATATCGAAATTAACGCTACACTTAATTAACGTCGCGGAAATTGACGTTTACGGAAATTAACGCGACTAAAATTAATGGGAATTTTGGAAATTCTCGTTAATTTCCTCTGATAAGGAATGGTTTTGCTCATATAAACCATCGCTTTTTTGCCGTTTTCGTTGCCGTCGCCGTCGTCGTTGCTTAAACCGTTTTTATCCAGAAATTTGGGTCCCTTGGTAACGTGACGTAACACATCTCTTCTCTACTACGCTGCCTCCAATCACTATACGAATAAATCTCGGGGTTCTGAGAAAACACTTGAATTCGCTTAAGCTGTTTTCTTAGAAGTAAGATGTGCCAGGAAGGGGTACCTGGCACGCAGGCTAAGGTGGTAAGGGCAGAGGAGACTACTACGCTTCCCCCCTCACGCCACCACGACGTTGGTCTTCGCCCATACATAATTTCCTACTCTGCCTAGTCTGTCTTTCTAGAAAGCATTCGCTAAAAAGTAGAGATTTGTTTATAGAGGAAATGCACATAGCTTTCCCCTCACCCTGTTTTTTGCCTTTTTTCCCCACTACAGAGCCTGGTCTCAGGCTACTGGAGGGCTAAAATATATAAAATATCAGCAAGTCCACAGTAACGAGCCAATGAGTGGTGCCGGATCTCCCAGTTGTAGACATGGATCAGTACAATTAAACTTAAATAGGTTTAAATATATAGTTTTTGTTTTTATCATTTGTTTACTTCTTGATCGCCTTGCCGTTAGAATCAGTTTGCCGTTTCATACTTTTCTACTGGAGGGCTTGCAGAAGCCCGCTATGAGAATTGTCTCGCCGCATGTCACCTATCGGGAGGCACTAGGACTCTCTAGTTTAGAGACACTGTTTGATCGGAGAAAGGTTTAAAGGGTCGAAATGTTTCAGGACATACATCAATAATCCCCTGAATCGAGGATCATACTTATTTTTACCAGAGCCAAACAAATGTTGTGTTACTAATTGTCTTAATCTGAAAAATAACCGAAGATGTCACGTTAACCGTCGCGAAAACAAACGGACTAAACAGAATAGTGGTTTTACTGTCATGTATATCAGACGATTTTATTAGGTGATTTTTTTCTAAATTACATTGTAGAGTTTAAGCAAAATTATTTGTTGTCATTTTTAAAGGTTTATCCGATTTTCCGCTAGATAAACTATTTACTGTATCTGTCTACTTCATTAAATGTTTTCTCTTATTCCCATATGACTTAGTATGTCAAAAGGTCCCATGCACGAGCGAGTCAATTTCAGGTAGGCTACGTAGCAGGAGTCCCAGTCTCCAGCCTGGTGGGGAGTACCGCGGGCGCATCGAAACACCCACGGCTGGAGACTGAGCCTAGCGTAGCAGACACTTGTAAGTAACATAGGCGCAAGAAAGAAAAGGGCGCGCGACGTGAGAGGGAGCGTGTTCCCCTCGAGAGCCCCGTTCTTTCTTGCGCCATTTTATTTATAAGCGCCTGCAAGGGAAAATGCCAAGAAAAAAAAATTCATGCAAAGAAGAAGGTAAAGAAAAAGAATTCATGCAGAAAGTCTGAGTTTCTTTTAGAAAGTCTGAGTCTCAGAAATCAACAATATTACCAGGAACAATATGAATAAACAAAAATCACTTTCTTCTTATTGAAAGGAGGCAATTAGAACCTTGTTTTTATTTTAAATTGCAGCTAGTGTACCTACAACGTACACCGTATACTGTACAAAAATAATAAAATAGAATTTGTAATAAATAAATATTAGAATTTTGTAGCTTTGTTAATATTCTATAAAACTATTTGTGCCCACAATAAAAATTAGAAGATGGGTCTTACCGCCTTGAATAAGAATTCTATAATACAATGAAAAAGAGCATTCACACGTAGTAGTAAGTGTTAAAACTTCAACTGTCAACGACATAAACAGCAACACTACCACGGGTACTTTTAACAAAAATTAAGAACCACAAAGTATGGTTTTCATTGGCAGTCAGTCTGCCTGCAACATACAGTGTATCCTGTATTATAATACATATCATATCAGCAATCTTTCCTTTGTTTCAAAATTGGCTGAAAGAGTGGCAGCTGATCAGATTCAGTCCTACTTAAATGAGCATGATCTTTTTCCTTCATTGCAATCAGCCTATCGACGGCACCATAGCACAGAAACTGCCCTGCTTAAAGTCAAGAATCACATTCTGATGGACATGGAAAATCAGAAGGTCACGTTGTTAGTGCTTCTTGATTTATTATTATTTTATTATTTTGATACCGTGGACCATCGGATTCTCTTAGATCGCCTCCAGTTTGGTTTTGGAATTTCAGGCTCTGCACTTAATTGGATTGAATCGTACCTTTCTAACAGAACCCAGCGCATCTATATAGACGGAGTTCTATCGAGTAATTTTAATCTTAAATTTGGAGTTCCACAAGGCAGCTGTCTCGGGCCATTATTGTTTTCTCTCTATGCTAGCAAACTTTATAAGATCGTCGAATCACATCTTCCTAATTCCCATTGTTATGCAGATGACACGCAACTGTACATCGCGTTTAGATCACGAAATGATCTGGAAGAGACCGCTGCTATAACTGCCATGGAATCATGTATTGCTGATATCAGTCAATGGATGCATTCGGATAAGTTAAAACTGAATTCCGATAAGACAGAATGTCTTCTGATTGGAACACGACAACAACTTCAGAAAGTCCCTAACATTATTACCTTATTGGTTGGGGACTCCCAAATTGTTCCATCTTGTGAAGTTCGAAACCTAGGAACCTGGTTTGATTCTAAAATCAGTATGCTAAGTCATATCAACAAAACTTGCTCATCCGCTTTCTATTATCTTTATAACATGCGTAGAATTAGGAAATATTTAAGTCGTTCAGTCACCGAATCATTAGTTCATGCTTTTATCACCAGTAGAATAGATTATTGTAACAGTCTACTATATGGCCTCCCGAATTCACATATCATGAAACTCCAACGGATACAGAATGCCGCGGCTCGGTTGGTCACCGGAACACCTAGATTCTGCCATGTTACACCATTGCTTTTCCACCTTCATTGGCTTCCAATAAGTTACCGTATAAAGTTTAAGATTCTACTTTTGACATTTAAGTGCTTATATGGTCAAGTTCCTAATTATCTAATTGATTTCATTACTATCAAAAAGCAATCCAGGTACTCTCTAAGGTCAAATGAGTCTATATTCCTAGAGTTACCAGGCATTAAGACCCATCCAACTCTTGGCGATCGTGCATTCCAGTCAGCTGCACCTTATCCCTGGAATGCATTACCTTCGGCAATTTGCAACATGAAGACATTGGACACTTTTTAAGACTGCTGTTAAAACTCATTTTTTCAATTTAGCTGTTAAATGGATTTAATTGTTGGCTTTTATTATAGGGTTTTCATTTTTTTAATTTTATGTATTTATTTTTTTAATAGTTTTTAATACTTTTTATCGTAGTTTTTAATGGTTTCTCATGCTTTAGTCACCTTTAACATAAATTTAATATAACAATATTGTAAAGCGCAACCGAATATATTCATATAGAGGTTTGCGCTATATAAATGTAAATTATTATTATTATTATTATTATTATTATTAAATACATTTAATTATCCATAAACAGTTTCAGTATTAAACTTTTCAACATATAAAATTTATAATAAAAATATAAATATTAGCCGTCCACTCCAAGTCGCTTCATCCTCTCTCATTTTGTGTACATTTCCGAGAGATTTTGCGTTAAAGTGGCCTGTATCCTTTGATCTGTTGTGAGTGTAGAACAACTTATAAAGCACAAAAACATAGATAATGAATCAAGATTTCACTGTTCAAAAAAAAGCAATATCTGTCTGAAAAAAAAATTCGTGCAGAGGGGTGCACCTGAAAAAAAAAAAGATTCCTGCACAAGCAGTGAGCGAAAAAAAAAAATTCGTGCAAGCTGAAAATTCCCCCCCCCCCCCCCCATCACTTTTCTAATGGTCCGTCCCTAATATCTGCCCGTTAACAGTATTCCGACCAAGACCTCTAATTTAAAAATCGGAATTACTTTCCTCGTAGATATGTATTAGCTATAGATACTGGCTTTTTAATCGTGCATGAGATCGAATAGAGGCCCTGGGAAATCATAATTAAACATTTCAAAGTCTTCTTCAAAGGCCTTACCCAGCTGAGCGATCTTCTCCTTGGGTATCGGGGCATAGCTTTTAAGAAGTTGACTTGTAGTATTGTGGGTAAGAAACGGAGGAAAGGTCACCGCCCGATCCATTCCTGTTTGCCGTAGGATATAAGGTGCTTCTTCTGGCATGTCCTCAAAATGACCGATGAAATCGTACTCTATATCACACGGGTGACAAATTGTGCCGTACGATCGCCAGTGTCCATCTCTATCAAACCCAACATCACTCACATAATAAATGAACTTCTTAAAAGTAAGATCCTGGTCGGAGCTGTTAGAGCTAAGTTCGTCTTGTTTGTATCTTTCCAAAATTTTCGTTTTATACCTTTGAATTATTCTCCGAGGCCACTGGTTGTTTACAAACTTGTTATTATAGGCTGACAAAAGCCTCTCGAGTGGTTCGCGAACAAAAAGAAACTTAAAGTAAGATTTTAGCCTCACTTTAATATCCTCGTCCGAATAATCATTAAAGAGAAATTTATAATCTTTGTCATTATGCACATCATCCACATCGATGCGGTTATCAAGAGCAAGAAAGACACGTTTCCATTGACTGCAGGCCACCTTGGGAATATAGCAGAAGATTACTTTGTACTCATCGTTAACAATTAAAGGAGGATTGTATTGATCGTTTCGATTTCTGCTTGAAGCGTGCTTCTCACAGTAGTCTCTGAGTCGCTGCTGTCGCTGAGTTTGTCTCTGTTTAATCCGCTCCAAAAGGTGATCATCCTTCTCTATCTGAAAAGTGGATTGACTAACGTGAGAGCTTTAGCCAGAAGGTGCGATTAGAAATCAGGACAGTCAGGATTAGCTTAGTCGGTAGGGGCGCTTAAACCGTGTAAACTGGCGGCAAGTAGTGTCCCTAATTAGTACTTTAAATACAACAAGGACACTCAAATAAAGTGCAGTTTTTACACAAAACAGGCTGAACAGGACATGAAACAAGCAAACAAAGTCGGATCATTTTGCGTTTCTGGGAAACTGCCCACCTACCCCTCCCCTAAGCCAGCATTTTGCTCTAAGTGAGAATTAAGTGTTAATGTTGGCTTAGGGGAGGGGTAGGTTGGCAGTTTCCCAGAAACGTAATCTTCTACCTACAACTCCAGCCGGTCCGTATTACCTTTTCCATCTCTTAATTCTTTAGTATAGTTGAGACTTTGTCGACACGAGTCCATTTAAAAGACATTAAACGATCTCGCAAACAAAACGGTTGTCAGAGAGGATAAAATCGTGAAAGATAAATATTAGCCTGCGTAACAAGCGTTTACGTTACGGAATTTTCGGTTTTGGCCGCGCGAAACCGCACAGAAACGCCTTTGATACGCAGGCTAGATAAACATCATTCTCCTATACTATTAACATCTGTAATAACACGACGTGATTTAACCTACCTTGAGTTCTGTTTTAGCAATGCCTGCTGTTTTATCTACTTCGGTCAAGAACCTGACCCTTTCAACATCTACGGAGGAAGTAATGTCAGTTACAGGGACAACGAAGATGAAAAATAAAAATTACCATCGAGTTAAAATAAAGCCTCACTTTAATTGCAATTTTTCTTGACCAATAGTTATCATTATTGCCCGCGCCGACAAATCCATGGCCTGCCCTTGCCATTTCCTTGACAAGTCCTTGTTGAGTCATTACCGCTGCAAATATTAACCCTGACAAATGTGTTCAGCCCTCCTTGTTAAAATGCTAACACGCAAGTTTTTTCGTCAGGGAGAGCTGCCAAGGACAACTTCTGTATGAAACATCTCTGACGTTAATTAGCCATAAAATGCCATATATATCAGTTGCCTAATGAATATGTGATTAAAACCTTTCTGTTAATAATATCAAATAAAGGAATGTTGCTTATCCAAATAATCGCAGCATTATATCATGTGTAAAACCAAGAGTGATTGATTCACCTTCAGTCGTATCCATTTAAGTAAAGTTTTTAACACATTTAAAGGAGAAAAATGCAAAACATATTTATTTAACGAGACATTTTAATTTCTGAGTTTCAAACTTTCATTACTCAAGGCTTTCTGTGAAAAAATAAAAATAAAAAATAAAAAGTCGAACACTGACTCTTTTGGAAAACTTTGAGGTCACTAAAGAAGTAACAAACGTAACAGCGGGAGTCTTCAATTGACAGCCATTTCATCGCGCTCAAAACTCTGGCTAGTTGAAATTAATGCAGGAGATGGGGATTATTTTTCTTTGTGAGGAAATTGTGATTGAAACGAATTGCAGAGCAGCAACTTACATCCACTTCGTTTGAAGTATTTCTTCGTCTAGTTGAGCGTTCCAATGGTTAAAGAAGCGTTCAACTGAACAATAATTAGAAAAAAAAAGCAGGAAGGATTCAGTTATGTAGTGAACTGTGGCAGCAGTTTTGATACACGTTATTCGTGCCACATACTTATCTGACGAAAGGAAAGTGCGCGGAGTGAAAGCACCATTTTTCTATTTTTGAAGTTAGTTAGTTCGCCAACAAACGAATAACGAAAATCATTGTCCTTTATCGGTCAAGATATATACAAGAATTGAAATTTGAAAAAGGTAAAATGGTAGCTTACCTCGGTACAGAGCAACCATGTACATGGCCAACAGAATCAGTAAAATGATCAGAGATACAAACAAATTTCTCCGAAGTCGAACAGCCATTAAAGAGATGAAAATAAGATAATGTGTCGTTTTATATTCAACAGTCGATCATTTGTTTGTTGCTCAGCTTTGCTTTATCGTTTGTAAGGTATTTCTCTTTACCTTCACGCATGCGCAGTACTGACTCTGATCACGTGCCTTACGATATTTACTCGAAAAAAGCAGCGGAGCTCATTCAACTTTTCTTCTTGCCGCGCTTTGTTTGGGGGCGGCGTTTATTTGGAAATAAAGCTTAGTGATGTATCAAAACCTCTTATTTGCCAGGAACACAGTACCACGCGTACGTTATCTCTGTTTATCAAGGAGCCCATTCAAAGTTATTTCAAATTGTCTGTACCATATCTGAGATCGAAGCCCAAAAGCGGAGCTTCCTTAACTAGCCTAACTGCACGTATTTACTTGAACAATAATCTTTTAATCACTACAAAGCAATCTTTTAAAAATGTATATATATGTGTGGTTTCAAAATACCAGGTTTCGTGTGGAAGTACAGGTTTCGTTCGGAGTACATTAACATTATTGACACTTAATTGAGGGGCCGCTTACAGGGCTTTCCACAAGTTGCTCGGCAACTTTTTGGCAACTTCTCGTATTTCGAATCTCCGACCTCCTCGAACGCACGCGCACCAACTCCAGCTCAATCGTCACTGTTCCTCTTCGTAGTTGGAGTCAATCTCAAGGCACCTTTGGGTATCCTGTCACTGGGTATCCCTAGGACATGACCAAGCCATTGCAGTCTGTGGTTCTTGATTTAATACTGTCCCAGTTCTTATGCCGTTCCTTATTAGTAATCTTGTTGGTTCAGTAGTTATCGCAAATTTTTACTGAGGTAGCTCTTTCTCATATTTCCTTTCTGACTTCCAGATACTGAAAGCACTTCTGGCTTTAATAAGGCGGGCCTTGGTGTCTTTATGGGCTCCATTGTCACTACTAGTAAGGCCTTCGAGATAAGTGAAATGGTCAATGCAATCCAGCTCAGTAGTTCCTTTCCACTGATGGTGATTGGGAGTGTTGTAGGGGTATTGACATCGGTAAATCACCTGGGTCTTTGTAACGATAATGCGCAGACCGGTTTGCTTTGCAAAATTGTTTTGTCAGTTGAATTTTTCCCGGAGATGGTTGAGTGGCTGACGTGTCTGCCAGATCATCGGCAAAGTCAGGTTCTTCTAAACGTGAGACCAAGGTCCACTGGATTCCACGGGGACGGTCTGAGGTTGTTTCACATATCACCCAGCCGATGGCTACGAGAAAGAAGATTAGAGAGAAATTTTTGCTCCAATCTATAGGAATCCCTAAAAGATTCCAGATCTTAGTAAAGAGATCGGCAAGCACCAAGGATGAGGCAGTGGCGTCTGCCTTTAGCAGTTCTACTTGACGCGAATCAATTCCTGGAGATTTTCCATTCTTCATTGCCTTAATTGCAGTCTCCACATCAGCTTGAGAAGGTGGGTTGCATGTTGTAAATGTTCAGATCATCCGAAAGGTCCGGTTCGCAGGCGTATTAAGCTCTGGCAAGTTAAGCATTTCTTTGAAATGCTGGACCCATCTTGCAGCCAGTTTCTTTTCAGTTGTCATCACTTTTCCTTCCTTTTCTTTGTCTTGCTTAACTGCTTAGTGATCTTGCACACAGGCCCCCCATAGCTGCAGCTATCTCTGGTTTATTAGCTAGCCGTTTCCAGAACGACTCCCTTGTCTCTTCGGGTACTCCTCTTAACCTCTTTGATCTTATATACTTCTTTTTCGCGTTGAGTCAGTCTAGGGAACTTAACACACACCAGGTTATCTTTGGCTTTCCTCCTCTCATCGATTTTCCTTCACGCATCAGGTATAATCCATTGATTATCTCTCTCCTTTGTAAACCCTAAGACAACATCTGCGGTTTCTTTATTATACAATATTATGACGTTATTCCAGGCTGTCTCGACCGTGTCCTGATCTTCCCCATCTTCAATTTCAAGTGCACTAAAGTGGTTGCTAAGCCCGATAGTGAACTAACTCCCTTTTAACCTTAGGTGGACAAAGCTGTTCGATGTCTTAGTGGCAAGTACTGCTCGTAGTTTCAACCTGACCTTGGCTATTAGCAGGTGATGGTTGCTGCCAACATCTGCCCCATGATGGACTTTGGCATCCCAAAGAGAACTTTGCTGTCCTTAGGGGCGGAGCATTATTTTCCCGGAGGAGGGAATGAGGAATTTTCCTCTGCAAACATTTTTTCAATGTGCGGCACCTCTGCAAAGTCACCTTCACCTTCCCGCAAACAATTTTTTTCTCGTTTTTGTCTTTGGTGCTAATAGTAGCTTATTACCCAGGCTCCTGGCGCTAACAATTACTATATAAAGCTTATTAAAGCTATTTTCGAAAAACAATCAATATTGTTATGGTTTTTTTGCCCATTAGCCTGTTCCAGGCTCTCAGATCGTGGCAATGACGGGTAAGTAAAGGGCACGTGAAAATATGAGCGCGTGATCTCGGTTAAGGGGGAGGTGGTGGCCCTCCTCTCCCCAGGTTCTTCTAATTTTATTTTTGTGTCCGTGTATTCTCAATTTCGCGGACATGACTATATCTCGGAGCCTGAAACGGGCTATTTGTCTATATGCGCTCCTAGTAATTGATGGTTTGTACTTTCTTTATTCGTCTTTTTTGGCAGCTCCTGATGCAAATAAAGGGCATACGATAGGGAATGGGCAAAGGGAGTTGCAGGTTTTCTGAATTTTTTAAACTAAACTAGTGAGCAACACTCTGCGAACTGTAGCTGTAAAACTTGTTTCTCCTACGCGTTGCGTCTAACTAACGTAGACTTCTTAAGGGAGTTGAAAATTTTATAAAAAATCATTTAAAAAGGTAGAAATTAAGAAAAATGACACATGTTTCAGTTCAGGATTTCTCTGCTACAACAAAAAAGTTTCAGATGTCAACAAACAGGCTACCATAAAGTTCCCATTGTAGTGACCCCCCGAAAGTTACGATTCGCCAAAAGTAAGGTCAAAAGTTTCTGACTTCTAATAAATCCCGAAAATAGCGAGCTCCCGATAGTAGCGACAACCCCGAAAGTTGCGAGTCCCCCAAAAATATCGAGACTAAGTTTTTTTTTAATTACGTTATAAACATACCGAATGTCTTGATTGTTTTCCAGTTGCAATCCATAGTCAAATTTTTAACGTACAATACTAATATCCTCGTGCATTTACAAATTTATCACGATAAGGCACTTTACGATAAGGGAACCATGGCATGCTCGAAACTATCATTCGTCTTTCAAGTCAGTTCACAGATTCCACAATGTAAAAACTAAACTGATATAAAGTTCATATCATCGACGCGAACGTTTCGTCAAGTTAAAACTGAAACTTCTGTATACCGCACTATAAAACGCAGTTGTTTGTCATGGACTAAAAGTAAAAAGCACTGAGTTTAGCTTTCCTCCCCTGAATTAGAGAGGAATTTATTGCTCGCGTGGTTTATCAGAGTACTGCTGTATTTAGTACGTAGGTATCTCTGTGTAGTGTGGGGCCTGAGCCCGAGTTGGATAGGACATGCGCAGTTTATTTGATTTACGAGTCAATCTCGACCCAGAGGTCTTTTGCGCATGTAGGGGAGAGAGATCAAGAGCTCTGGGAAACCCTGGAGCAAGATTGTCTCTGATTGGTTTCAGCAAAAAACAATAAAAGTGTTTCTGATTGGTCCATTCAAGTTTTGCACGAGAGCGGTTGAACGTGCGACGTGTCTGGCGTGTGAGTCGGTTTTTCCTAGAAATGTTGACGTAAACACGACCGGCCGATTCTTGATTTCAGCGATTCCAAAACAACATTTGCACGACTAATTAGGCAAAATTACTGGATTTTCCAATTTTCAAATACAATAGCTTAGTGACATATCGAAAATTGAACCAGAAAAAGATTTGAATGTGAAAAATAAAATAAAAATACACCGACATCTTTAAGAAGCGTAACACATAACTGATTTTTCTTTGACTTTCACGTTATCGTATTCACATGAAGTAGCCGAGTATGAATGAAAACTTGACCTTCTTGTCATAAATTGCCCATTAACAGACTTGCAAGGAAAAAAAACAGAAAACGTACATCGTTCCCTAAAGTGATGCCTGAACAATGCGACTAGTTAAGCAATAGAAAACTTTTTCCGAGAATTCGAGAATTCTCCTAAAATAACGCCTCGACTGTTTATCAGGCTATCCAAACACAGGAAAAAAGTTTTCTATTGCTTTTATAAAATAACTTTCCCGAGAAAAAACGGAAAACTCTTTGTATGGCAATGATTAAAAGAGAAATTCTTACCAGTCGCAAAGTCTTGTCCACGAAGTCTTGCACGCGTAATCAGTTCTTGTTTTGCAAAAAGATGCTTTCCAAAATACACATTTTTCTAGCTTAAAATGTCAGCTTAAGTGAAGAAAAATTGACACACCTCCTTTGTGTTCAGCCGACGAAGGAATGGGTAAATAAAGTAAACTTGTGGAGTTTTGAACTCGAAAACTTTTTCCACTTAGTGCTTGCGTGATTAGCGCGCGAAGAGCAAAACATCTTGATGCCACAACCATTTTTACATACTCCCATGCAAACACTCCTCTCGGCAAATCGGAGCGCTCGTACTATCTTAGTTATTTTATAAATATTTATAGTTGTCTTCTTTTCCCACGATATCGCATTTAAAAGCGGCTTCGCTCGTGAACAAACATAAATAAAAGGACGCTAAATTCTTATTTTGGAAAGTTTTTTTGGAATTTCGATACGTATATCTTAACAGGCCATTCGGGTTTCACTTATATTACCGCCTCGTGAAGTAGTCGGCACCAATATTTAATCAACTGTCAAGCATATGCAAACTTCAAGTCTCAAAAATGTGACTGGGAATGTTTAACGGTATTTTCTCAGCAGCTACCACAACTGAGCCTTGGATACCTGAAAATTCTTCAAGGCAGTTAACGGTACTTCTTCAGTTCTAATACCGAAGCAGCACAAGACTTTGGCGATGAAGTAGATATAAAAGAAGCAAAACGTTTTGGTTGGATCAAAGAGGATGCGCTGTGAGGCCCAAATAGCCAGATTTTGGCTACTCCGGCCCAGAGTTTCCCAGAGCTTACGCGCGCATTCCCAAACCCGTAAGCACTGGGGTCGGGAATGACTTACGACTCGTGTAACTGGTGTCCTAGTTTAGTAAAGTGATTCGAACGCTAGTTTTGTTGTTATATTTTTGTTACATTTTTTCTGGCAGCGGTGGGATTTTTGCCATGGAAGAACTGTGAAAGCTTTGGAAGAGAAAGTGGCGCTCCTCGAGGCGAAACTTGGAAAGAAAAGTGAAAGTACGGTTGGTGCAAGCGGCAGTTCACCGATCACGTCGCCAGAAAACCCGCTTCGCATCAAACCGGAAAGCTTCTCTGCGACGTCCGGCAAAAGTTGGGTGGTTTGGATACGGAAATTTAAAAGTATTGCAGCCCTTAAAAAGTGGAGTCCTGAGCTTCAATGTCAAATCTTACCCGCGTACCTGAAAGGCCTTGCAAAGCCTGACTGCCAAACAAACAAACACGTGGACGGCCGTTGAACGCGCTCTGACAGACCGATTTCATCCTAAGGAAACTCGTCAGGTACACATTTCCACTCTACGAGCCAAATTAAGACGTCCTGATGAAGATCTCCATCAACTGAGGTGCGACACTTCTCGTCTTGTGGAACTGGCCTATCTGGATGACCCCTCGGATATACTCGATCGCACTGCCAGAGATTTCTTCGTGGGTGCTTTGACCCCTATTATATCGCGAGAGAAGACGTTGGATTTGGGGCCCAATACTTTGGATGAGGCACTAGCGGCAGCTCAGCGATATGAATCAAATCAAAAAGTGCTAAACAAGGCAAGTGCTCGAGCGCTGCCTTCAACGTCTGTGGAGCAGGAGAAGTTTGGCTCCCAATAGGGAACCCAAGAACCCCCAGCGTGGGCTAAGGGGCGTTTCAAACAGCAAGCTGAAATCTTAGAGAAGCTAAAGAATATTCCTCAGGGGAGGCAAGGTAGGAATGAAAGTATAAAATCTGGACAAGGCTCCTGTGCTTGTTTTGAGTGCGCTAGTCTGACTCATGTTATTCGTGAATGTCCACATCAAGTCCGTCCCGACCATGGAAACGGGAGATGGGCGGGGCAGAGCCGAAAGTGACCCCGCCCGAGAATCCAAAGGGAGCATTTTTTCCTTGTGATGTCAATGGTGTTAAGTCCGAAGCCTTATTAGACACGGGTGCAGAAGCAACAATTATCAGTGACAGAAGCAACAATTATCAGTGAAGACCTATACCATCGCTCTAAGACACATATAAACAAACTTGAGTCCACACAGAAGCATGTCCTAGGGGCCAATAACATGTCACTTAATATGCATGGTTGGAGAAACAGAAGTAACAATTCAGCTGGGCGCGATCAGGGCTCAGCATAAAGTGCTGGTGTGCTGAGACTTGGCACAGCAAGTGTTGATTGGTATAGATTTTCTAACAAATCACAAATGTATCATTAACTTTGACACTAACACTGTCTACAGTAAGGGGGGACCCAACAAAATGGCTTTTGGATGCCTTGATAGAGTTCACAGGATCACTGTCGCGGAAACCGTCACATTATCTCCAAATATGGCCGCAGACCTTGTGAGGTCCAAGGGGTAGATGACTTAGACGATTGTATGGGTGTACTGGAACCAGCGGACAAGTTTTCAGAAAGATATTCTGCTGGGGCCTCTCGGACGGCAGTGACTGAGAAAGGAGGTCGAATCCCAATTCGAGTGTTCAGTTACTTTAACAAGCCCCTCAAGATTTACAGGTGTAGCAGACCTCTACCCATTAAGTACAAACATTAACCACAAAGGACTGCAAAGGACCGCAAACGAATATGCCGGAAAACGTAGGATCTATAAAGACCTGATCAGCAAAAATGAAAAGTTCCGGCATATTCGTTTGCGGTCCTTTGCAGTCCTTTGTGGTTAATGTTTGTACTTTATGTATTCTGGGGCCGTAGATCTTTATTTTTTATATGCCGTAATGTTTGCATGGTTTGTCCATGTGTTTAAGGTTGGTTTCGGCCAACTATTTATTTTCTCTGCGAGACATCAACTTGACACTTGGACCCTTGCCCCCCAGAAGACACGTGGTATGGCGTGATTCTGTGGGTGTTGAGGGTTCTAGGTCAGAGCTTGAATCAGAGTGCGCGGATATTTTGCACCAGAGCTTTCTGGTTGTTACGCCATACTGACGAGCCCCAACGAGGGCGAAACAGTTGTCTATGGCTACATTGTCTATGGCTACAATCCCGCTCTGTTTTGAGTTCTTTCGGTGTCGTGTTGATGTCTTGCAGAGTTAATTTTCACGTAGTACGATCAGCATTGCAGTATTCTGCTTGCAGAATTTAATATGTCTACTCTACCCATTAGCTGGCGAGGAGGAATCACAGGAGGAAACCAATGTGGGTGTGGGCTACAAGGTGGTACCCCCTGCGGCCTCAAAGGAAGATGTTGTGGTTGGATTGGAAGCTAAACAATGTAGTGCGGTTTTTGTGAGGGAAACTGACGTCCACAGTTTATTAGTAGAAGAGATGTTCCCTACCAGCATCGATTTGGTCCCGGAAAAGGAAAAACTTAGGCATTATGAGGTGCTGTCCACTTATGCTGACTGCCTTACAAAGGGGCCGTGGGATTTAGGTACTGCAATGGGCGTACGACACACCATCGACATAGGCTCTGCCAAGCCAATGCAGGTACTGCCGCGAAGAGTTTCCTCTCACAAAAGGCCGGAAATGCGCAGCGAAGTGGATGAAATGCTCGAAGCAGAGATTATAGAACCGTCCGATTCTCCTTGGTCCTCTCCTGTGGTTTTAGTAGCAAAACCTGATGGCAGTCAACGTTTCTGTGTGATTACGTCGCTGTTAACTCGGTAACCAAGCCGGACTTGTACCCGCTTCCTCGGAGTGATGACATATTAGAGAGTTTACCTGGGGCACATTGGTTTTCTCATCTCGACTTCTTTATGGGATATTGGCAAATGGATGTGGAAGAGGAAGATTGGGAAAAAAACGGCGTTCGTAACTCCGGATGGCCTTTACCAATTCCGCAAACTAAGTTTTGGCCTTACGAATGCACCTGCCCCAGCTAGACGTACCGTTCATCATGGACAGTGATGCCAGTGACAGTGGCGCTGAGGGCGGTGTTGCCTCAGGATCAATGTGGGAAAGAACGTGTAATAGCATACCCTGCAGTGCGTTCTCTATCAAGGGCTGAAAGGAACTATAGTACCACCCTGAAGGAACTGTTGGCCCTCGTGTGGTGAACAGAGCACTTTGAGACATTCCTCTACGGGCGACGTTTTCTGGTCACGACCGACCATATAGTGCTCTGCAGTGGCTACGGAACTTAGAGGCTAGGTGGCTTGGTTGCTTGAAAGGCTTAGTGAATTTGATTTCTAGGTGGAACATCGTCCGGGTCAGTTGCACGGCAATGCAGATGGACTGTCCAGCCTTCCCCGGGACGAGGGTTCATCGGTTAAGGTAGAGAGGGACGCCACCCTGATTCAGTCTGTGAATATGGAACGCTTGTCGAGAGAAAGTATACGTGCAGCCCAAAACCAAAATCCTGCCCAGTCACAAGTTGTGAGGTGGCTTGAAACTGGTGTCAGACCCGCTAGAGGCGATGTGGAGGAGGGGTGGCGCAAACTGTTATCATATTGGTCACCACGGGGAAGGCTGTTTCTCAGGGACGTTCTGGTGTTTAGACGTTGGGAACACGAGGTGACAGGCCAAGAGATTTATCATCAAATCTGCTTGCCCGAGAGCGTCGGGTCAAAGTGTTGTGCGCCTTGCACAAGGATCCTTCAGCAGGCCACCTTCGTGTCTAGAAGACTCTAGAAAAAGTACGGAGGAGATTTTATTGGCGTGGTATGCGGGAAGATGTCGGAATGCACGTTAGAAGGTGTGTCCCAAGTGCAGCAGTCAACGACCCATGCAAGCTGCCAAAGGCACCCCTTATAAACATTGAGGCAGGGCACCCCCTAAAAAGGGTCGCAATAGGCATCGTACGTCCCACACCAAGATCTATCTCTGGCCGTGAGTGGTTGCTGGTGGTCTCCGATCATTTTTGCTAAGTTTGCTTTTCATGGATGATTATTTCATGAACACCACAGAATATGTTAGACACACATACACATGTGGAGTTTTCTCAGCAATTTTCAGTGTTTGTTCATGTGACTGGTTTCTGAAATGCGTGAATAGTAGTGATGAGTATAGCCGCGTTTGATGAATTTGTTTAATAAAGTTTTGAGAAAACTCTGCTGTGAAGTTTAATAGCGCAAATTGGTAACAAATAATGTTGATATTTAAAAGCCACAATAAACTCCCGTTTTCTCATAAAAGAATCAGCTATTTTCTAATTTTTTATTTATTTCAAAGTTTAATGACCACTATGAAGTACCCAGCTCGATATATTTTTGTCCATGTTTCAATTTGGTACCTTCAGCTTTTATTCCAGTTTGGAGACTAAAATTTTTAATAGTTTATCTGACTTCTCTGCAAACATTTTTTTACGCATATCGTGCTTGCAAACAATTTATTTTGTCCTTTCAGAACCTGCAAACTTTTTTTTTCCATATTTCTCATCCCCTCCCCCTCCAGAAAAATAATGGTCCGTCCCTTATTGACGATGAACTAGTCAATCTGATTGACAGTGTTTCCATTTGGTGATCTCCAACTCAGTTTGTGGATGTCTCGGTCGGGGAACCACAGAGACCTACCACCCATTTCCAGCTGTCATGTTTTGAGACAAAATTCAACAAGCCCTTCTCCATTGTCGTTGATGGTTCCGCAACCTTGCCGAACCATTGCATCTTCTCTCCCCGCCGGTGTTGTCACCTTCAATTTTATCATTCCAATCCGCGGTAATCAGTAGCATGTCATGTTGAAGGACGTTAGAAGCTGCACGTTGCTGATGCTCTTAAAAGCCATCTTTGTCCTCTTTGGAAGGGGCTTAACACTGCATGATGGTCAAATTGAAGTATCTTGAGGCAAACATTGCTCTGACTAGTCTATCGCTGATGGGTTCCCACTCTATCTGAGTTTTGGCTGCGAGCCTTCGCGTGTCACCTTACGTCCAGGCCCAGTCTATCTACACTCGCTCGCACAGAGAAAGTCCAAGTTGTAGTTCTGAATGTTTCGGGCATGGTGCGCACATTCCATTATCCAATGCGGGTGGTAGTTCGGGGTTCCAGAAAGCTCTGATTAAAAATTCTGGATTCCCCTGAGTTCGGCTTTTATCCGGAGTTGTCATGGTGCCACTGGTTTGTCTAGTTTCGGTAACAAGTTGTTTTTTCTGGATGTATACCTCAAAACGTAGTCCTCAATTTTTTGGCATTTCCATGAATCACGTTACCTCAGTGCAGTACCGCGGTTAGGTTAAAACACACTTCATTCACGACCGTTACACTCCGAACTCAGAACGCTAACCCACTCGAATAAATTACAACACACGCTATCTATAGTACATGCAAATTACGTAATTCCCGTGTGTATCACATCACATTCATTCTCTCGCTTCTACGCGCTTGCATTAGCATCGTATACACTACATTCCCTTCTTTGATCAAATTTAGCAGGAAGGCAGTTTTAAAAGGCTGCAAAACCCTAAATGTTCAGCAAAACAAAGTCTTTGAATTAAACTAGACAAAACAGGAAAAGAAGTCCTAAACATCCAGGACAAAGTCTTTATAGCGCGCAGGCTGTCTTATAGTTCGGGTCGACCTCCGCACAGGCCTTTCCGCTGCGTTATCTTCCTTTTCGGTAGAATGCCCAGCTTGTACTTGGGAATTTTCAGATACTCCTGTAGTCCCTGGAATTCCGCTTGGCCCTGATACCTCTGTCGTCTCCGGAACTCTGCTTGGCCCTGGCTCATCTGTCTGTACTGTAGAACTTGCTTGTACCACTTGGTCTCCGTTGCCATTGGATACACCATCGTTGTACTTCTTTACGAATGCAGTGTTCCTTTTCAGTTGCACACCAGCTTCGTTCCTAAGCGTTACCTCTGTTCCTGTCCTCTGAACCACCTTAAAAGGAGCAGGGTTGAAGTTGGTAGACAGCTTGTTCGTTTTTTCGGCTTTCAAAAGTACTGTGTCACCAACACGTATGCTCTTGGGCGTGGCACCTCTCTTGAGATCTGCATAAGCTTTGCCCTTTAATTTACTTGACCAATCCCGCTCTCGCACTTCTTCGCCTGGCACCCCGACCGTCTCTCTCCTTAACTCTGGCAATTTGGACCTAACCTCGTGGCCAAACATCATGTAACAGGGGGTAGTCCCCGTCGACGTTTGCGGAGTGGATCTGTACGCCATCAACCATACAAGCAATTCAGTTCTCCAGTTCTTTCCTTCTAAATGTGCAATCTGTAGACATTTAAGTAACGAGCGATTTTGGCGTTCCACCTCTCCATTAGCTTGAGGCCACAACGGCGTCGTTTTCCTGTGCTCAATACCATTTGCGCGTAAATATGCTTCAAATTCTTCGGATACGAACTGGGGCCCATTATCTGTCCTTAAAGAGAACGGAAAACCGAATCTGGCAAACATGGGTGCAAGTGCTTCGATGACCTTGGCACTTGTAGTAGACTTCAGAATAGCAACTTCTAAGAAACGAC